TCTTCAAATACTGAAGAGCGTTAAAGATGAATTTCAACTGATTTTTCAAAATTTCTGTATAACTAGTGGTTGAGTGTGATAGGAACCAGGGGTCGCCATGACTACAACACAAATACAGACATTTTATTTACTATCCAGAACCACCAGTGAACCTACACGAGTCTTTTGAGTTTATATGGAATGTTGATGATGGAAAATAGTGGAAAATTTGAAATAATAAGTTTTCTCTGGGGACTATTTTGCCTCACAGCGCCCTGCATGTATCCCTCCACCATGAATGGAGTTTAAGTTCTCTAAACTATCATAGAACAGTGTCTCAGTCATCAGGCAGTGAATTCATAACCATTTCATGTAGGAACTTTCTGTGAGGGAGCTTTTAGAGGTGGACGTCTGGTTCCTATCACCACCACTGTGAACAGTTCTGACTCGGTAAGTTTCTCTAGAACAGAGCGTTTCACACCAAACCACTCTGAACCACTCTGTTTATTTCTCAACCATTTAATCATAGACATTCTGAAAATTGGTGAATTTCCCCTTTAACACAGCTGACAAAGATCCAATCCAGAGGGTCCAAAAGTCTCTACTGCAATTCTATACAAATCCGTCTCGGGTCACATGCCGACAGCTTGGCGGAAATCGGATCAAAGCTAATCTGATTCGAGCGTTAGGGCCTGCTGCACGCAGCATGTGCAGCAGGAGCACTTGAGGGTTCTGTGGTTAACGTTAAAGGGGAAATTCAGTGATTTCACTTTCTGTTCCTCCTCAGCACCTCAGACAGTTTTAGGTGAGCAAGTCTGATGAGCTAAATCAGAGCTCGCTAGCCCACTTTCCCCACCCCCACCTTCAAAACAAACACGTCTCCACGGCTGAAATGCTTACAGTCATTACTGTGTTCTTCATTTAGGCCCATCTCATCATCCAGTCCTTCAGGGGCGACGCTCATGCTAGCAATGTAATAGCCCTTTGTTTTGCATTCACTGCTGTCAATGGCACTGAAAATCCATGTAGTCTTAAGTGCAGCTTAGGCGGCATCAATCGGCATCAGTCAACTCTAAACATGCATATGATTGGCCAAAACTATACCTGAGGTGCTGACCAACACTAAGCCGAGTGTGGTGACAAATACTATTAAAGGGATAGTTTGAAGAAATATCTAATTCACACAATTCCTCCATTATTCAGTGTGTGAGATGTAATCAGAGTGGTTCAGAGTGGTTTGGTGTGAAATGGTTCAGATGTCTTTACAGTGGTGGTGATAGGAACCAGGGGTCGCCATGACTACAACACAAATATAGACATTTTATTTACTATCCAGAACCACCAGTGAACCTACACGAGTCTTCTGAGTTTATATGGAATGTTGATGATGGAAAATAGTGGAAAATCTGAAATAATAAGTTTTCTTTGGGGACTATTTTGCCTCACAGCGCCCTGCATGTATCCCTCCACCATGAATGGAGTTTAAGTTCTCTAAACTATCATAAAACAGTGTCTCAGTCATCAGGCAGTGAATTCATAACCATTTCATGTAGGAACTTTCTGTGAGGGAGCTTTTAGAGGTGGACGTCTGGTTCCTATCACCACCACTGTGAACAATCCTGTTTTGAGTTAGCATGATGCTAATTAGTTAATTGTTTTTTGCATTAGCCTCTTAGCTCCAGTGCTGAAACTAAGAAACCAAACGTCTTGGCTGGTCGACTACATTTGGGGTGAGGAGAGAAAACGGGGTAAGTCTGATTTTTGAACTGATTATTCCTTTACTGCCAGCCCCCTGCCGGGTGGGTAATAATGTAATATTCAGACCTCAGCTGTCCGCAGGCTCCGTCCTCAGGCTAAGCGTGTGGGCCATATGGCAGCCCGGCTTCACATACACACAGCCTCTGAGCAGATGGCCTGGTTCTCTCACACACACAAACACCTCCAGAGACCCCGATGTGGGAGTTCAGGGGCCAAATCTGATGCACAGAGGAGCACAAACGTCGATATTTTCTTCTGCTGCATGTTTCCATCAAACCAAACAAGCGCTCAGAGAGAGAGGCCAAAAGGTGAAGTGGGGTCATCGGGACTCCAAGGTCCCATTCGTCCACATCTCTCTCTCTAAACATGCACCACAACCACTTAGCCAAACTGGGCTCACCCCGATCCCACTTGGTCTCCCGATACTGATTCCTGAACCAATACTGACTACAGACTTGATATTTTGTGTGTAAACCTCATATAATGTGCTGTTTCAACGGAAGAGTTCACTCCAAAACGTGACCTCATTTTTTTTTGGTCACTCAAAAATCTGCAGAGAAAAAATCAACAAATAAATAAAAAAGGTTTGGCACTCCTATTAAAAGTTAAATGACATGTCTTGTTGATTTTCTAAGTCAAAATTAAGTTAACACACTCCCTACAGGGAACTTCATATGACTTTTTTTTTTTGCTTATTTTAGCTCACATTTTCTTTCTTTGTTCCTTTATCTTTCAACATACTGGGGAAAAAGAAACAAAATATAAAAGGTGCCATAACTTTTGCACTGGCCACACTTTTACTTTGTGGTTCTGTATTTAAACGCACCATGTTCTCCATAGAGGATACGTTAACTTCTTTTTACTTAGAAAAATCAACAAAAACATGTTTTATTGTCATAATTATTAGCTGTATTAGCCGTATTATTAGCAGAATCGATAGTCGATTGATCAAGTCTGACCGAAGTTTAATACGGTCAGGACCGGTGACGATACTGACCCACTGTATTGGATCGGCGCATTGCTAAGCAAAGCTCTACTGGCAAAGTCCAGCAAAACTCCAGCTGACCTGAAAGATGATTTCAGACCATCTACTCCTAAAAATAAAGGGTTCTTTAAAGCGACGCTGTGGAAAAAACACTTTTGCTTTCTTAATGACTTTTCAAAGGGTGGTTCTTTAAAGCAGACGTTCCCAGCCGCTGGGCCATGGCCTCGTGCATGTGCGCAGCGTTATCCGCTTTAAAAGACTGTTTGTTTCGTTAGTTAACAGCTGGTGAAAAGTGACGAAGTTCTCATCTTTTCCATCCATACAGGCCGGATTTTTAACCCGACAGTCACCAAAACAAGGCTGCGTAACAGGGTGGACGCCAAGAACATACTACCTGTGTAGCTATATAGCAGGCCTTTAGACCTGATGGCTGTTAATGACGCCTTTAGAGGGCGGCGCTGAGCGACGTTTGTTTATTCAATGTTTGTTTATGATGCCTTTAGAGGGCGGTGCTGAGCGGCGTTTGTTTATTCAATGTTTGTTTATGACGCCTTTAGAGGGCGGCGCTGAGCGGCGTTTGTTTATTTGATGGTTGTTGATGACGCCTTTAGAGGGCGGCGCTGAGCGGCGTTTGTTTATTTGATGGTTGTTGATGACGCCTTTAGAGGGCGGCGCTGAGCGACGTTTGTTTATTTGATGGTTGTTAATGACGCCTTTAGAGGGCGGCGCTGAGCGGCGTTTGTGTATTTGATGGTTGTTAATGACGCCTTTAGAGGGCGGCGCTGAGCGACGTTTGTGTATTTGATGGTTGTTAATGACGCCTTTAGAGGGCGGCGCTAAGCGGCGTTTGTTTATTCAATGTTTGTTTATGACGCCTTTAGAGGGCGGCGCTGAGCGACGTTTGTTTATTTGATGGTTGTTAATGACGCCTTTAGAGGGCGGCGCTAAGCGGCGTTTGTTTATTCAATGTTTGTTTATGACGCCTTTAGAGGGCGGCGCTGAGCGACGTTTGTTTATTTGATGGTTGTTAATGACGCCTTTAGAGGGCGGCGCTGAGCGACGTTTGTGTATTTGATGGTTGTTAATGACGCCTTTAGAGGGCGGCGCTGAGCGACGTTTGTGTATTTGATGGTTGTTAATGACGCCTTTAGAGGGCGGCGCTAAGCGGCGTTTGTTTATTCAATGTTTGTTTATGACGCCTTTAGAGGGCGGCGCTGAGCGACGTTTGTTTATTTGATGGTTGTTAATGACGCCTTTAGAGGGCGGCGCTAAGCGGCGTTTGTTTATTCAATGTTTGTTTATGACGCCTTTAGAGGGCGGCGCTAAGCGGCGTTTGTTTATTCAATGTTTGTTTATGACGCCTTTAGAGGGCGGCGCTGAGCGACGTTTGTTTATTTGATGGTTGTTAATGACGCCTTTAGAGGGCGGCGCTAAGCGGCGTTTGTTTATTTGATGGTTGTTGATGACGCCTTTAGAGGGCGGCGCTGAGCGGCGTTTGTTTATTCAATGTTTGTTTATGACGCCTTTAGAGGGCGGCGCTGAGCGACGTTTGTTTATTTGTTATTAATCGCGCTCGCATTGCGTTTGTCATCCGTTGAGAAGCATCAAGAGCTAGAAACAGAAGATCGCTAATCGGTTGACTCGGCCAGTTTTGGTTTGCATTATTTGCATTTTTATAGTTGCATCACAATTATTTACACAGCACTTAGTTAAGATTTCATGATCGCAACAGGCCAAAAACGAGGCTGCGATTTGGTCCACGTTGTCAAAAAAGTTGGGAACCTCTGTTTTAAAGAACCACTGTGTAAATGAGAACCTTTTCAAAGCTTTAACTAAACACCATCCCTGGAACTGAGGACCACTGAGTAACCATTGTTTTTAAGAGTGTGAATCCACACTGCATGAAACATCACTCCGCTTATGAAATGTTAGATACAGTAAAGGGGGCGGACGGAGAACAGCACTCCGATTTCATCCCCGAAAATCACCAAAGCATCCTCCTCATGCCTCAGAGGGTCCCCTGTGCAAAGTCTAATCCATGCATACAAAATTCAACTGCTCTTCTCCAGCGTTCCTTTAAAAAATAATAATGAACACACCCCAATCATGAACCCACAGCAGGGGGCGCACATCAGCCCTCAAAACGAGCCCACAACTCTGCTATGGGACGAACAACATCCACTGGAACTCACGTCCACTGTCCTCTGGTAACTTATTTGCTCCATTTTTTGTTATTTTGTTTGGTTTTCTTTGTTTTTTTTGTCATTTTCTTCTTCTCTCTCTGTTTTGCTTCGAGGTCCCGTTGAGTCTGGCAGATTCACTCGGGAGTCTCCGAGCGGAGAGTGACGAGAGGAAAAGCAAGCCTAGCAAGACCCCGTTTTTGTCCAAGCAAGCACTCTACAGCACAGAAAAGCAGGCTGTCTCGGCTCCAGCTCACATTCAGCGTTTCTCGCTCGTTTCGTTTCGGTTTGTTTTATTCCCCTCGATCCTCTCTTCATCGGATCAACGTAGCTGGCCGGGGCGTGGTCTCCTAGAACAGTGACCAAAATGTTAACAGTGGTCAGCTTTTTCATTTCAGAAAGTGAAGAGGTGTTTATTGGAACACCACATTAAAAAATATCAAAATTAATACGATAATTTTTATTCAACATTACACACTGCGCTGCACACAGTCCACATAAACAGGACTCATTTTACTAGTAGGCAAACATGCAGTTGGGAAGTGTGGTTTAACTACCAATGACTATATGTTTAGAGAGACAGACTAAAGCAATAAGCCACGAGAGACTATGCGTTACTGTGGTTATATCATGGGGAAGGGCGCTCTTAGGCACAACGCGAAGTGGAGAAATAAACCCTCCTGAATGTATGTGTGTGTGTATGTATATATATATATATATATATATATATATATATATATATATATATATATATATATATATATATCAGTAAAAACCCTCCTGAATGTATATATCATACAGCTCCTCCATGATTGTATCTCTCGTTCATTCACTCCTCCCTGTGAAAAATCACTGTAATGCATGGCCTCAAGTGTCTTATTGCTTTTAGAAAATGGCAGCCAACATAAACTACGATGAAACACACTTTTCAAAAAATCATAATAATAATTATTATTAATAACTTAGAATAATCAACATAAACAAGTGTTTTTTTTTTTAAACAACGGCTATGAACGCGACTCAGCCAACTATCCGTTTAATAATACGACAATTTATCACAGTAACGATAACTACTGTCATTGAGTGTAGTTAGGCACTGAGTTCTTAGTTGGTCTGGGACTCTTATTTTGAAGGAGGGCATAATGTAATGAGCTTCAGTAGCCCAGCTGGGTGGCAGAAAAACAGTAGAGCCTGAGCAGCCTGTGTGCTGCATTTTCCCCTTTGCTGCAGCTGTTCTGAGTTGAATACCCGTTAAAGCTATGGGCGTATGAGTTATGGGCGAAGTAACGAAGTTTGACTTCATGCAAATTAGCAGCAAAGCGATCACCAGCGGGAACTGAGTCAGACACCCTTCCCCTCGATTTAAAAACCTGAGAGTGAGTGGGAGTAAACAGAGGAAACGCCTCCACAGACTGCAGCTTTGTGGATGTAGATCGCAACATAACCAACTGACTGTCCTGTCGTTTATCTCTTTAATACATTTTAATGCATCCATCAGAATAAATGTAATTAGTGAAATGAGAGCGGCTCAAACATGGCAAATAAATTTTGATCAATAAGCTGAACAGCAAATATCAGTACAATAAAATTTAGATGTATTTCACTGTATGTTTTTGGTGAATGCCAATAGGTCAATTAGGGCCACGAGAGGCGTAAAGTCTCTGCTGGTGTGAACACAGGATTACACTTTAAAAAGGTGTTTAAAGAAACTAGTTTTCAGCAAACTTCTGCTGTAACACGAGCTCACCTGAGTCAAGCAGGTGCGGAGTAGAACTGAAGTCAATCAAAAGGATGCTCTGGACAACAAGGCTTCACCATGCTCCAGGAGTCGATGCATCTGGACAGAAGCAGAACAGAAAGCCCAGTAAATGTTCACCATTCGGATCATTCCTAACGCAAAATACAATGACCAGTTCGGATTACAGCACAACATTAATTAAAAATGAAATGAAAACATTTTCTCTCTGGCCCCCAGATCTGATGAGATTTTTAATTTGGCCCTTTTACCGACTGAGTTTGACACTGATGCCGTGGTTTCATTATGATGAACAGAGTAGGGATCATAGTTACTTCTTGTGGTAGACGCATAGGCAGGCCAGGCGGGCGATGGTGTCTCCCTGAAGCAGATCTTCGAGGCATATGGAGCACTCTCCGCTGTCTCTACTGAGCACGTCCGCTGCAGGGAGGGCAAAAGGAAGATACGGTGCGCTATGAGGCGTCGACAGTAGAGGTTCGGAGAAACAGAGGTGTAAAAGGAGAACTGGAGAAACAGATTACTCACTGTTGTAAGGCAGAGGTGGAGAGGTGAGGCAGCTCAGTAGGTGCTCCTCGATTCGGCCTCCGGGGAACGGCTTGGTGCAAAAGGGGCAACGGATTGCTGACGGAGGAAAAAGGAAAAAAAACAACAAAAAACACATGAATCACTCATCAGACCCAGACAAGGAAGCAGACAAGCCACAACAGCCCTTAATACAGTGCTGTTACAGGAACAGTTGGAGAAACACTTACTCAGATTTGACCACTGAATTAAAAAGAGCTCTAAAACAGAACTACTGTGGCTAACTGGTCTTTTCAGTCAGGAGATCACAAATTCAGGCCCTAGTGATGCCACAGCCATCCGTAAGTGTGAGTCTAAGAAGGCATAACTGTTCTCTCTCTCTCTAGGATGGTCCTCCCTCTCCCCCCATCACTCAGCACGATGCTGGCTAACGTGAGCGTCCATTAGATGACAGAATTTGCAGTTAGTGTTAATATTTTATATATAGTAATGTATATAAAACATTAAATATTTATATATAGTGATATTTTTTTATTTATATAGCACTTCTCATGCCGGTGGCAGCTCAAAGCCCTTTACAGACCGATGATAAAGCATAACAGTAATACAAAAAATAAGCATTAATTTAGTATCATTTCAGAAAAATGACACAGATCAAATTAAAAGATAAAAACCACGAGAGTTCAATGAAGCTCTGAGTTAAAGAGCTGCGTTTTCAGGTGTTCATTAAAAGTGAGCTCTGAGCTCGACTGTCTAATAAAAGCTGAACTGAGCTCCACAGTTTGGAAGCAGAATAACTGAAAGAGTCTCTCCATGTTTTCTGTGTTTTACTGAAGGAGTTCAGAAGGTCAGAATCTGCAGATCTGAGATCATAAACAGACAGACACGGTCATGCATTTTGTACGAGTTGTAAAGAATGTACTGTTTTGTTAGGAAGTCCAGTAAGATGATCATTACAGTGATCAACTCTGCTTGTAACACATGCATGAACAAGTTTCTCTGTGTCGCTCTCCTGAAAGCCTGCGGAGCTGTTAATCAAAACTATGGTTGCGGTCAACTAAGTTGCGGCCCTGATGCATGCTGGACTCAAAACTACGCATGCTGGTTAGAAATTTAGATTTTCGCCGGCACTGCAGAACGTCACTGTCGATGTAGGCAGCGCAGGCGTCTGTTAGCTGATGTAACAGAACCGGCGGTTAGCGTTGTTCTCCGAGCACATTCAGCTGTACAAAGACTTTGTGTTAGCACCAGTTTGGAACGATGTGGTGGAGCTTCACGGGTCTGGGAGAAAGTCTGTGCCAGATTTTGCCCACATAGTGCCAGTCAGAACTAGTGGGTGGAATTGGACACAACTAAACTGAGAAAAAAAAACATTATATATATATTATATTATTATATATATCTCTCACAGGAGCAAGACAACTGCAGTTGCTTTCCATGCGCTGCACAAGCTACAACACGCCTTCGAGATGTCAGAACGTCACTCCTGTTGGCTGGAATCTCTGACGTGTGTCACGTACGTTACGTTTTTATTTTATGGACTCCAGATCATCACAGCGTACGAACAGAAGGCTCCATATCCATATTTAATGTTGAGCATAAATTAGTCTTTACAGCCTGTTTACACTTTGCATTAACATGTTTCATGTCCAGATCGTATATGGATAAACTCTGGCTGGATTCAATTTACACGTTTCACTACACTCCTCATTTTTACAACACACACCTCTAAGTTTACTTTACTCTTGTTGCTGTAATGATACGAGTGGACAAGCTCAGCTTGGACGCTTCATTTGGCTCAGAGAGGACAAAGGCTGTCGGTTTTGGCAGAACTTCAGCCTCACGTATCCTCCGTCTTTCGCTGCATTGTTTATGCTCTCTCCCGCTGGTCAGCATGCGGCAGATGCATAATGCGTTCGCAGTGTGTCCTGGGGGTGTTCACACCTGGCTTTTCATGTGGTCGAGTGAAACTCAAACGTGATCCGATCATTAAACACGCAAAAACTGCAAGGCGCAGCACCTCAGTGTGTGATCTGTGATAGAGCGTTTCATTACACGACGTTAACGACCGCACAGAAGCTTCTTCATTTATTCTTACTTCATCAACAGAGTAGCAATACGGAAAAGTGGCCTTTCTTGGACTGCAGTGTAAGATTAGTTTGTGTTGTTCCTTTATTTATTTATTTTGTCGTTGTCTTTTTTGCACCTTTCAAAAAATCTAATTTGAGTGATGCAGAAAATCTGCTGCTCTTGATAAAAGCCATTTTAGAAAATATGAATAAGAAGACAGGGGGAGGTGTTTGATGTGTATTACTTATTTTTTTTGTATAAATGAAAAATCATCCTGTATTTGTAATGTGCTGAATTAAATACGATCAGACAATCTGCAGGTTTTCATTTCTCGACTAAATCAATTAACTGAAGCCACAATGGACAGACTAATCGATTATGAAAACAGTCGTTTGTAGCAGCCCTGGAACCCTTTTGTCAAATTATCCCCATAATAGTTTTAAGTTTGCAAATCTTCACATAAAGTTTGCTTGGGAATGAGACTCCTGACCAGGGCTGGGCGATAGGACGATATTTTATCATTATCGTGATAAATTATGTCAGAATATGCTTGTCTGAACATATCATGAATATCTTCAGTCCTTAAAGGACACTGACTAACTACATGTTTCATTACAAAGTGAGTAGAAAGTTCGTAATACGGAATAAAAATCACTGTAGTTGTAGATTTATTATTATTATTATTATTATTATTATTATTATTATATATATTAGACTTACTATTATTATTATTTTTGCTACAATAGTATTTGTATGTGGCACAACAGGTTCTATTTTGTCTGTTCCAACTTATTACATCTCAGAAAAACTAAATATAACGTAAATCATGCATCACGAAAATGTCTTACAGTATCATGATATAATATTTTTGCCACATCATCCACCCCTACTCCTGACCGCTGCCTCAAACGTTCGTCCGAGGTCAAATCAATGAGTATGATGACCTTAAAATTATTAGTTTTCCAACTGACATCAAAGCACGGGAGCGCAGTGCCCGCTGGGGTAAACGCTGGGGCATCCGATTTGGCCTGATGGCCCATTTTCCCTGCGCTCAGTCTCACTGGACGGCTGCCTGCGGCGTTTGACCCATTTCCTGCCGAAGAATGTGGGAAAATGACTTGTTCCTAAGAACTTCCATGAGTCGCTCTATTTCGACACCTTAAATCTGACTCACTTCCTCTTGGAGAGGCGCGGATTCAGTCTGAACAGGCCCGCAGACTGCACTTTCAAAGTCAGAGAAACATAACGAGGGCCGGCGGGGTCAGTAGGACCGAACCGAGCGTTCCTCCCAGTCCCTCAGGAGATCATCCTGTCAAGAATGTCCGAAATGTCAGTAAAGCCTTCGCCTAATTACACGCCGGCGTAATTATCCATTCACAAACACAAAGAGCCTTATTTTCTGAGCCGCGTTCAGCGTTTAATCCACATTACAGTCGAGAGAAAACGCCACAAACCAGCACAGTGGAGCTTTAAGCCCACGTTACACATATTTTGACCTCCTTGGTTCAGATATAACACAACACAAATATAGACATTTTATTTACTATCCAGAACCACCAGTGAACCTACACGAGTCTTCTGAGTTTATATGGAATGTTGATGATGGAAAATAGTGGAAAATCTGAAAATAATTACTATTTTGCCTTAAAACGCCCTGCGCGTACTTCTCCACCATTAAAAAGTTTCATAAAAGGTTTTGACCCTATCATAAAACAGTGTCTCAGTCATCAGGCAGTGAATTTATAACCATTTCATGTAGGAACTTTCTGTGAGGGAGCTTTTAGAGGTGGACGTCTGGTTCCTATCACCACCACTGTGAACAATTCTGACTCTGTAAGTTTCATAGCAAACCACTCTGAACGACTGTTTACATCTTAATTGTTTAATTATGCAGAAATGTTGGTGGAATTCCCCTTTAAAAGACCCTCTAACCCCCTCTCATAGACGTCCACAGAACACAGACAACAAAACCGCTTGTAAAAACTCTTCTATACAGCTAATTTGACAGCACAGTATTCTCCAACAGTTGTGTTCTGCATAGTTTATACATATTTATCTAATATAGAGCTCCTCTAATCTCTCAAACTAGACTTCAGTTAGATCAAGAACTTTCAGAACCTCCAAAAAAAATAAATGCTGGGCTCCACTGACGTGACACACATCCAAAAAGTGGCACAAAAAGGACACTAAACATGGACATGTACTTCAATAAGTGATTAGTAAGTATATTAAGGGCTGCCTACAAAACATCCTCAGTATACGACCACAGAAAAGCTCTAAAAGCACTGAGAAACCCAACAAATCATAAACCCTAACTCAAAAAGAAAACAGCACTGTTAATTAATGTGACGAATATTCAAAATGACAGTAAACCTGGGCATAACATGTTAATAGATGATTAGTAAACATACTAGGAGCTGAAAAGCATAACAAAAAATTATCACAACACAACAATAAACCAACACAGTTTACATGTTGAAGGGCAATTCAACTGACTTGTGTAAATTTCTGCATAATTAAGCTGTTCAGATGTAAACTAAGTCATTCAGAGTGGTTTGGTGTGGAACGCTCTGTTCTAGATAAACTTACCGAGTCAGAACTGTTCACAGTGGTGGTGATAGGAACCAGACGTCCACCTCTAAAAGCTCCCTCACAGAAAGTTCCTACATGAAATGGTTATGAATTCACTGCCTGATGACTGAAACACTGTTTTATGATAGTTTAGAGAACTTAAACTCCATTCATGGTGGAGGGATACATGCAGGGCGCTGTGAGGCAAAATAGTCCCCACAGAAAACTTATTATTTCAGATTTTCCACTATTTTCCATCATCAACATTCCATATAAACTCAGAAGACTCGTGTAGGTTCACTGGTGGTTCTGGATAGTAAATAAAATGTCTATATTTGTGTTGCAGTCATGGCGACCCCTGGTTCCTATCACCACCACTGTAAAGACATCTGAACCATTTCACACCAAACCACTCTGAATCTCTCTAATTACCTCACACAGTGAGTTATCTACAGATCTTCGAAAACCTGGTGGGATTCTCCTTTAATACATACCAGGGGCTTCTGACTGAAACTGAACGTAAACCATACAGGAAACCCTGCGTGGTCTCAGCTCCATATAAGCATTCAGCACAACATCCACCCTTAAAAAAGACGGTTCTTCAAGGAACTCTTCCACGCTTAAACTGTTATCTGTACTGTGAAATGGTTCTTCAGATTGATGAAGAATGTGTTGTAGTTATATGATTCTGTATGGCACCAAAAACAGCAGAATCCTTTTTTCTGGTGCTATACAGATCCACTTTCAGAAAGGTTCTAGACAGAACCATACACAATACATTCTACATCAGTATGAAGAACCCTCTCACCATGCACAGAACAAGCGTCTTTACTAAAGTAGCCATCGTTTTAAACGAATTTCCCCGGTCCATCTTAAACGGTACAGCATGTAAATGTAAATGCTGCACCATTTAAGGTGGAACGGGACAAAATCGAACAGGGAGCCAAACTTCAGCCTCGTCTTTTTTAAAAGTGTACGTTGTTCAGTAAACGGTAAACTCGACTCTTAAAAACCCCGATATTTGTTTTTGAATGTCTGTGGTAAATATAAACATTGTCTTACTGCCGTGTCGGACTCTGTACAGGCCGATCCAAGCCTCAGACACGGGCCGGGGGCTCCTGACCCTCGCCGCCCTGGCTGCGCCGTTGCGGCCGACCGAGGCGTGCCTTCCGCCGGAAAGCCGCTCTGAGAAAGTCCGGTGCGGCGCAGGCCCCACGTCCTCCTCCGCGGCCAGCCGCTCACTGCTGCCGGGGCTTCTCGCACTCTGCCCCGGCTCTCCTTCCTCCTCCTCCTCGGGCTTCTCTCCGGTTTCGGGGAGAGCCGTAGCCGGATCCTGATCCGGGGTCCCGTGGTGCGGGTCTGCGGGACTCCCCGTGTCCGAGTCGCTGCCTTCCTCCGAGCGGCTCCGGTTCGCCTCCGAGTCGCGGTCGAAACTGCCCGACAGGTCCAGCGCCAGGCTGGCCGGCCTGCTGCCGCCGCGCAGCCGGCGAGACTCGCGCTTCACCCCGCCGCGCTTGGAAAGAGAGGGCGAGGACGGAGCGGCCTGCAGCCGGCTGGAGCGGGTTCCCATCGGGGAGAGAGACCGAGAGTCAGCGCTACACAGCCGGAGAGAGAAGCGGAGAGACGGGCTCTCCGACACCGAACACACCGTTTAACCGACGGAGTGTGTCTGTGTTGTGTTCGCAATACCGGAAGTACGTCTGCTCTGTTCCTCCGCAGTGGAGGCAGGGCAGCTGCCTCAGTTTGTTTTTGTGTCAAAACGAAAGTGGCCAGACTTCAAAACTAACTAAACTGATTAAAGTCCAAACTTACAAACAAAACCAACTAAATTCCAAAACTTTCGAGCAAAACTATCTAATAAACTAACTGACCGATCAAGATTTTGGGCCTGAAAGGTCATTTTTAAAAAAAGCTTTTAATTGTGTCGAGGCACAAACAGCAAAATAGTCCCCAAAGAAAACTTTTTCATTTGAAAATAGTACAAAGACAACATATCAAATGTTGAAACTGGGAAATATTGTTTTTTTTTTTTGTTTGTTTTTTTTTAAAAAAAATATGTGCCCATTTTGAATTTGATGCTCCAAAAAAGTTGGCTGGTAAAGTTGTGTAAAGTTGTGGTTGATTGGCAACAGGTCAGTAACATGATTGGGTATAAAAGAGCATCTCAGAGTCTTTCAGAAGTAAAGATGAGGAGGGGTTCACCACTCTGTGAAAGACTGCACCATCAAATAGCGCAACAATTCAAGAATAACGTTTCTCAACATAAAATAGCAAAGAACTTTTGCTTTTCATCATCTACAGTACATAATATCATTAAAAGATTCAGAGAATCTGGAGAAATCTCTGTATGCAAGAGACGAGGCCAAAAACCAGTATTTGCTGGCCGTGATCTTTGGGCCCTCAGGCAGCACTGCATTAAAAACAGACATGATTCTGTAGTGGAAATCACTGCATGGGCTCAGAAACACTTCTGAAAACCACTGTCTGTGAACACAGTTCATCACTGCATCCACAAATGCAAGTTAAAACTCTAAAACGCAAAAACGAAACCGTTTATAAACAGGATCCAGAAACACTGCCACCTTCTCTGGGCCCGAGCTCATTTAAAATGGACTGAGGTAAAGTGGAAAAGTGTCCTGAATGCTGAACGATATATATACATGTTTTGGCAACATATGCTGCCGTCCAGACGACGTCTTTTTCAGGGAAGGTCTTGCTTATTTCAGCAAGACAATGCCAAACCACATTCTACATGTATTACAACAGCATTGCTCGGTATTAAAAGAGTCTGGGTGCTAAACTGACCTGCCTGCAGTCCAGACCTGTCACCACTGATAACATTTGGCGCATTATGAAATAAAAATGATGACAAAGGAGACCAAAACTGATGAGCAGCTGAAATCCTGTATCAAACAAGAACAGAAAAACATTTCACTTTCTAAACTACAGCAGTGTCTCCTCAGTTCACAAACACTTACAGAATGTTGTTAAAAGAAGAGGTGATGAAACTCAGTGGTAAACATGAACCTGTCCCAAGTTTTTGGAATGTGTTGTTGGCATCAGATTCAAAATGGGCAAATATTTTTCAACATTTGATATGTTGTCTTTTTAGTATTTTCAATTAAAAATCTGGTTTACATGATTTGCATATTATTGCATTCTATTTTTATTCACATTCTGCACAGTGTCCCAACTTTTTTGGAAATGGGGTTGTAAACAAACAAGTTAACTAACTATCTAACTGACTAATTAAATGACTGAATATCTTATAGCCTGACTTCAAATAAACTAACAAACTGCCAGACTTACAAACAAACCAGTTAACTAAATGACTGACTATCATTCAGACTTTCAAATAAACTTCCTGTTTTACATATACAGCTCATCGTCTCGAGTGTCTGAGCTGCTTTGAGTCGTGTGATGTTTTTTTGTTCTTGTGACTTCAATCAAACCAGAGAAGTGAAGCCTATAAATACTTTAATATGTATTATGTTGTATATTCATTCTGAGAATGTAAATGTGTTTTACCAAAGAGCCAATATGAGCGCCATGTGCACATCTCCAGATCCTTTGTTCACCGTTTTACAGTGTGATTACTGTCAGCTTTTTAGAGACTAGCCTGCTGAAAGATATCATTAGCAGACTATTGTGTTACTTCCTTTGTGAGAAACCATTTGAGCTGTGAAAGATGAATGTTTAGACATCATGCTATTAAATTGTAACTGTGCATGAATATATAACTAAAACAAGGGTCTTTAAAAGGGAATTCCACTGATATTTTTCCCTAAAACTACATTGCATAACTACAAGTTAACAGAGTGGTTCAGAGTGGTTTGGTGTGAAACGCTCTGTTCTAGAGAAACTTACCGAGTCAGAACTGTTCACAGTGGTGGTGATAGGAACCAGACGTCCACCTCTAAAAGCTCCCTCACAGAAAGTTCCTACATGAAATGGTTATGAATTCACTGCCTGATGACTGAGACACTGTTTTATGATAGTTTTAAGAAAAATCTGGGCCTAAAAGGTATGTTTTGAAAAGATATTAATGGTCTAAATGTACAAATAGCAAAATAGTCCCCCAAAAAAACTTATTATTTCAGATTTTCCACTATTTTTTCCATCATCAACATTCCATATAAACTCAGAAAACTCGTGTAGGTTCACTGGTGGTTCTGGAGAGTAAATAAAATGGCTATATTTGCTTCCTAGATTCGATTGTATCTAACTGTCCACCTGCTACAAGTTTGTCCACAGTGTTATTTTTATAACTTTTAAATAATATTTCAGTTATGTTGTCAAGTATCAAGGATAATATAGTGGGATATTAAAGAGTCAGAAATGGCAGCACTTCTTAGTAATAAACATGGGCTGTTTGTTTTGTTTTCTTTACATGGCAGCTTCCAAATTATTGGATGTAGTTCAGTACAGAACACAATTTGCATACATGTTATAATTTATTAATGAATATAACAAATAATAAAGTAGATATGTGTGAGAAGGGGACCCAGTTTCTTTGTAGAAATGTACATTTTACACTATAACAGACTGAAAATTGTTTTGTGCACGTCAGTAACAGGATGGACATATTTTATTGTCAGGAGTGTAGAAAAGTGGATAAGATTACTAAACATCAAGTGCTCAACAAGATATTTTTCCATCTTGGCTAATATCTTGTGGTTACAGAAAAACATGAATAAAAGGCATTCAAAAATTTGACTCAAAATTTCCAGTTGTTGTTACAGTTTGGCTATTATGACCCATAAAAATGGTGGAGATACTCAAGGTAACCACAAGTTTCTGCTGGGCCTTCATAAATGTCAAAACCTGGTCATAATGCAAGGAAAAATCTAAGTTCATTTCTGCTCATACCCCTATGGGACTCTAGCAGTATGTTAGCATGAAGCTAATTAAGATTTTAACATAAACATTAGCTATGTTTACATGCAGTCTGATAATCTGTTAATGGTCCAACTGATAGATCAATCAGAGTAGAATACGTCCATGTAAACACCTCAATTTGAATAGACTAGTACAATTGAGGCCGTTCAGAATACAGTTTCTATCTGACCGATCGAGGTGGGTGATCCTGTAAATAATCCGTTAAATAGAAGAATAATAACCCTGTAAACGCCTGTATCTGATTACATTCCCTATCGGAAAGTTTAAGTCCGTTCTGATCATGTTCGTCACGTCATAGTGAGAGTTTATACCGTTCAACATGGCGGAGCAGAAACTGGTCTGCAGAGGAGACGAAGTTTATGCTCTGATCTTTAAAAGACGGCGGTGGGACGGACGTCCAGCTTATGTGTCTCAGAACACGACGTCTTCCTCTCGGCCTTCTTTAATAAGGACATATGAAGGACGTTTTCCTGAGTCTGACATCATTTTAAAGGAATTAAAAACACAAGCGCTGCTCACTGCTGCTCATCTCACTCTGACTGGACTCACGTGATGCTGGTTGTCATGGCAACGTCTACACCAAGCGATTCTCTGCACATGTATGTCATTTCGCATCTGATTACTTGTAGAGTACATATAAACAGAGATTTTCATCAGATTGTTGAGTAGAGCGAGAATAAACACCTCAGTCTTAATCTAGAATCGGAATGTATTTAATCAGATGGGCAAAAATCTTTGCACCTAAACACAGCCAGTGTTTTGTTTGTTTTAGATAAAATGAGGAAAAAGTCATATGTCACACTCCATATGTTTAATATATGGACATATAAGTTTGTAACAGACATTATCATATATCTGAGTTTGTACGTGTCCGTTCTACAGTGGCTCTTTCAGTAAAGACTTCTGACATAGAGCTGCCGCTGTTTTCTATTCCTAACAACTAACCCACACCTGCTTAGACTACGGCACGTATTCACAGTCAGTGAGGTAACAGGAACTTCCAGAAGGACTAGAGCAGGCATGTTAAACTGGGGACCTTCTGGGCCAAAGTGCTGCGGAGGTCAGCGTTTACCCTCATCTGACGCTCTAAATTCAGCTCATTAAGTTCTTGCTAATTAGCTGAATTAGGTGTGTTTAATGAGGCAGTGAGCTGAAGTCTGCAGTGTTGTGGTCCACGAGGACTGGACCCTGACACATGTGGACTAGAGTGATGTTTATTCTCACATAATTGATCACAAAATCTGGTCAATTGAAACAGCTTCTCATTATGTTGGTAGGTAATTTAAAGTGTAAGGCCTTCAGTCCAGCTCCTGAAGTCCTAACCAATGGGAGAGCAGCTCAGCTGTATCTACCTAGATATGACAGAGAAAACAATCCTGATTGGGCAATTTTCTGTTGGGAATTTAAAGATTTTAATAATTTTGTTTTCTACTAATACTTAACAATAAAATAAGAGTATTACTACAATACTTAGTTTAAAGCAGAGTTTAATACAGAGTTTAAACCCAACATGCGTGATTCTATGATAAAAATGAACTACAAAATCACAGACATGCTCTTGTTTTATTTTACAGAAATCATCACAGCCTTCTCTGAAGTCTTAGAAGGCCCTGAGGGTTCCTCACTGTATGTAATCAGATCACATCAGTACCCGCTATGTTAGCATGAGCATTGCTAAAAAAAAACCATAGTAAGGCTGCAGCAATGGTTAATAAGAAATTTGATTGCTTGTACCGAATCAAATGTAATGATTCATTGCTTCACAAGTCAAGTTTATTTTAATCTCCTCTGTATGTACATGTGGAGGTTTGATTCATTGTAAAGGGCAGATTGAGAGAACACTAATAATGATAAAACACTATTCAGCAATCTCACAAACTATGAGAAAAGATTTCTCACAACTAGTATCAAACCAGAATTCATTCTTTTTGAGCACAACACAGTCCTCATTTCCTCCATAACTGTTGGGTTCCCCTTCGTTCCACTTGAGGAAATCTAAAGGCCGCTTTTCCTCGTCCACATACAGACCCTCGGCCACTTGATCGTTTCCCCCGATGAATACATATGGCAAATTGAAGATTTGAAGCACTCCGGAAAGCTTTCGGTTTTCCTCCTGGTTTCTCGGCAAAGCCAGTTTTCCTCCAACGTTCTGGCAGAATGCCGTTCCTTCACTGAACGTCTTTGTCAGCCCATCAGACACGTAGTACTTCTGCCCGACCCTTATGAACACGCTGAACGATGCAGCTTAAAATCAAAGACAAGCAATATATCAATTTAAAGTTCCAGAGTAAAATATTAAAATGTTTGTGTGACACTGAGTGTTTTATTAAACAACCTGCAAAACTTGGATGAAAAATATAAGATATAAAACACAGCTTAAAACCCACTGATCAGATCTGAGAACTGTGTGGGCGTGGCCAACAAGCAGCTTAATTGACAGCTCTCTGTCGAGCACTCCTAGCTCCGCCCCTCACATAGAACTAAAATCATTATCCAGCTTTTATGTAATGCTGATTGGACGAAAATAGTCACGAACAGATGTGCAGAATGTTGGTGTCGGACAGGGGTCAGTTACATTCTGGCTCCTCATGCACCATTTAAGGTGGAACGGGAAAATTAGAACAAGAAGCTGGCGAATGAGAAGCGACTTCAGCCTCGTAAAAAGTCAAAAGTTGAGAGACATTTTACAAGAAACTGTTCTACTTCTGTGGAAAAGTTTCCTGCTGGAGATGCGAGAAAAGCGGCTGTAGCTGAGCTAAAGATTAAAGCAGAGCAAAGTAAGTCTGCGTTTTTGTTTATATTAAATTTGTTAGCCTATAGTAGGACATCAGCAGACACTGAGACATATTTACAGCCAAGATGGTAAAATGGACATAAAATGTGGCTCTCAAGGTGGTTTGATTTTTGTTAAAAGGACAATATGGCTCTTCTTAACATTTGGGTTGCGACCCCTGGTGTTGGATAAATGAGTAAACGGGTGACAGGCAGACGGACTAGCTCACTAGCTTTTGGTTATGCTGGGTTAGCTTTAGCTTGCTAAGTTCCTCTGACTCTGATACTGTTCTGTGTGGGCGGGGCAAGAGATGCAGCCTTGTAATTGGTCAGGGCAATGCTTATGTAAGCCTTACCCAAGATTAGGACCACCCAGTTTACATTGAGAAGAGAGAAATATGGTGAACTATATTGGTCATTTATGGTCATTATTCAAAGAGTAAACTTAGTACATATTTACTGTTTGCCTGCAACAACAAGATTAACCTCATTAGAAAGGAAACACAGATTTAAGTTCCCTGCGTCTTTAAGTCATGTGACAATTTCACTGTTAAACACTTTGGCTGCAGTCCTACCTTTCTCCAGCAGGGACAGTCTGGCTGTAAGACTCCTCAGTTCCTCCTGAACCGAGCTGATCAGACCACTGTGGGGAGCCCCTGAGAATGTAAACTCAAATTAACTATTTAATTTAATGGAAATGCACTAGGGCTCGCCCAAACAGCAATTTACAGGCTACTCGTTATTCCAAACAAGCACTCGAATACTTATTGGTATTTTCAATACTAGTTCTCAAAATCACCCCAACATCACTTTTACTGTTGCAAAAAAATCAAACATTTTGCCAGAGACCAAAACCAAAAATTTAAAGAAAGTGTTCTTTTATATACAATCATATATAATTTGCTATTTTATGTTTTAGAATTAAGGTAACAATGCTAGTAATGCTTAAAAGGGAATTTTTTAAAACAACTTTCTAAATAATATTCAGTATTTCCAAAAGTTTTCTAAAGTTTCCAAAAGGCATCTATAGCTGAATTCCAGAGCATCTCCACTGGGGCTGGGCAATGTGACAATATATATATCATTATCATGACATATTATGTCAGAATACAATACAGTATGCTTTTCTGAGTATAACGTGATATTGTCAGTACTTGCACACACAGACCAACAGCATGTTTCATTATAAAGAGAACAAAATTAGTCCAGTTTAACTGGATTTGGTGCCAAATATTGAAGAAAAATCACTGTATTCACAGTTTTGTTAGTCTTTTAAATGTAGCACCTCTCTGGTTCTTTTGTTCTGAACAAACTTACAATTAAGCAATTAAAGTTATGTCAGAAATTTGACTGCTTGTCTGGTATTTTGACTTATTTGTTCAAAGAACACAGCTGACTATACCAAGGTCAAAACGTCAATCTATACAAAGCATCGTTGTTGAAGGCCCAAGATCAACAGTCATGATGTGTGGAGGCCTTCTGAAAAACGCTGACACCTTTTCATTAATCTCTCTGCAAAAAGGCCTCATTCTGGTGCATTTAGGCATCACTAGTGCTTGGACCCCTTGTATTGCCGCTTGTGGCTATATTCATTTATGTGTTTGTTGTAAGGTTTGATACCTGGTTTGCTCCCAATCCTTTTAAAGAAGTGACTGTTTGTTTACCTGATGAACCTGGATCTCCCTTTGGTCCTTGGGGTCCAGGTGAACCTGCTGGTCCTGCCTTTCCTGGAGGTCCCTGCACACTCAGTCCTGAAATCAGAGCATAGTGGTCACTTTCCTGCTGCCCTCTGTTTTCTGAAGCCTCTCCGACTCTCTCTGTAACTCTGAACTGCGCCCACATACCCGGCTCTCCCTTCTCTCCTTTGGGTCCGGCGGCTCCGTCTCTCCCGTCTCTCCCGTCTCTGCCAGGAAGGCCGTTGTGTCCAGGAGTTCCTGGAACCCCAGCAGAGGCAGGACAGCTGAGAGTTTGAGGAGCTCCAGCCTCAGATCCACCAACCAGATGCAGCTCCAACTGCAGCAGCAGCAGCAGAGCAGTGAAGAGCTGACTGAACAGCGCCATCCTCTGTTCACTGTGGGAAAGACAGGCTGGTCTCTCAGAAAAAACTTGACAAACTTACAATGAAGGACATCCATATGAGAGAGAGATTAGAAAGACATGTAGCCAACAACTATAAGTAAAAAAACAAAACAAAACAAATTTTTCCATCAAACTTAAATGTTTTATACATGTAATAGCAGAATATTGCTAAGACATTTATTTTTTTCCTCTAAAGTACACTTTATTATGTAGTTTTATGTTCCAAAAACAGTCATAATTGATCTGTCTTTTAACATTAGCATGTGGCAATTGTGCTATCGCAGGCCTAATATTTGCAGCTGTTGTTTAAATGTGGGGCTAGCATTAGCTTGTGGCTATTGTGTTATGCTGCCTTCAAGTCCTCCTCGGAAGTTCCTACTTATGACTTCGGAGGTTGTAAGTATGGCTTGGTTTGTGTTCAAGTGGTTTTGGTTGGAAATAAGATGGAAATAATGTTTTTGGTTTACCTTTATTTTTCTGTTATTAAACAGAGTCTGTGTTTATACAGTATATCTGTATTTCCATGTGTGGATGGTCTTAGTCTGCAGTGTTAACGTTGTGACTGATTAATATCTGAAATACAGCCAGTTTATCAGCGGCTTCCATTGTTTTTTTGTTGACGCCCCCAACTCGGAAACTCGGGTCTCATTGAAAAATCCGAGTTTCCCACTAGTAAAGGTGCCTCCATCTCGTAAATACGATATTTCTGATACGATTTGAAGGCAGCATTAATGTGGAGCTAACATTAGTTTGTGGCTATTGTGTTAACATGGGGCTAACAATTTTGGCTATTGTGTTATGTGGGGCTGCTGCTAGCTATTGTCTTAATGTGGGCCCATAGATATGCATACCTAGATGCCACGTTGGGTCCAGCCAGGAACGTCAATGGTGCTGCCATTTTAGGGCGGTCAACATCACTGCTGGACTGCATTCAGTACCATTACAGAGCAGCAGTTTAAGAAAGATACTGTCCGAAATTACACTATTTCAGGAATATCACACTCAGAAAGTGGGATAGGATTATATAACGGAGGGAACGCAGTGATCCACACTCATGTCTGTGTGGTGTTTGTGTAGATATGGCCGTGTGGTTAATGAGGCACAGAGAACCTGTTGATGTGATTGTTTTTCCTCTGGTTTTATATGAAGCTTATTTCATTTAATAGTCTATTCAGGATCTTAACTTTATGTAGTAGTTATTTATTTACAGTGATGGTTAAAGCTTTGTAGGAAGGAAAATTACAGCATTCCTTAATCCGTGTAGATATTCATAATAGATTAACGTTAGAACCTTCTTACACAAACCTGAAGTTAGCTTCTTATTTGCCAGCTTCTTGTTAGAATTGTCCCGTTCCACCTTAAATGGTGCAGCTTCAGGCACCAGAAGGTAATTTCTGCACCATTTAAGGTGGAACAGGAACTTGACGAATAGGAAGATTACTTCAGCTTCATCCTTCTTACTGTGTTTTGGGGTTTATTTTATTTTTTATGTGTATTAATATTAGAAGTGATTCACACATTGATGGATTTGCTGATGTGTCCGATTGTGTTTCTCACACTAAACTCAGTTTTTAGCGTCAGCCGGGAATCGAACCCAGGCCATTCTTGCTGTGAGGTGACAGCGCTACCCACTGCGCCCCACATAACGCAAAAAACAAAACAAAACAAAACAAAACCAAAAAAATAAATAAATAAATAAATATATCTATATCTATATATATAGATAGATAGATAGATAGATATAGATATAGATAGATATAGATATAGATATATAGCATTATATATATATATATATATATATATATATATATATATATATATATATTGGCTTTTGTGTTACGTGGGGCTGCTTGTGGCTATTGCATTAATGTGGGCCTAATATATTAGCAGGTGGCTATCGTGTTAACATGGAGCTAACATTAGCTTGTGCCTATTGTGTTAATGCAGGAGCATATCAGCTTGTTGATAACATTATAAATGTTGTACTTACATAATGTTGAATGCTTTTATAAACTGTAAACAGAAATATTAACATATTAAGGCAAATTTTCCACTCTTATTTTTTTGCTGTATCAAAAATGACGCTACTGAATCATATCAAACTGAATTTTGAATTGTTTGCACTCCATAGTATCTATGCTATGAGATTTTGTGTTGTTTTGTTGTTTAAAATCAGTGGAAAGTAATGACGCTGAATGCTGATGCCATGCAAAACCATGTAAACGTAATTAACTCATTAATTACAACTCATCATGAAACATTTCACAGAAAAGCAGCACCTGGAAGGCAGTAAGAAATATAAAAGTGCACAAATTAAAGTTTCTTACCAGGCGGATGTGTTTTATCAGCAGGAAAAGACTTAAGACGGCACTAAAGTGGCTGGTGCTCCTCCAGACACCAGCAACCTATAAATAAGAGTTTCCTTCCTCCAGCACTGCTGGACGCTCTGAGTTTCTTTTCCTCTTTTCTTGTTTTTCTCAGTACGTCTGATTTCAGCTCATCCATCATCGTTTAGCTGCGTTTCCACTAGAACTTCACAGCTCAGACATAACATCTTACTGTGGTTCAACAGCTAAATATGAATTATGAAACACCTTATGATACAGTAAATACTCGTTGACAACAGGTGTGTAGCCAGAACTGTCAAGATGGGGTGGCCGGTTTAGACCCAGTGATTTCACTGAGGTGGCAAAGGAAACAATCATTTTCTGTGTGAATATTAGGGCAACAATATTAAAAATACTTTTAACTGATCAGCCAGAACATTAAAACATTACTTCTCTACTGACTGTATAGTTCCAGACTGTAGTCCATCTGTTTCTCTGCATACTTTGTTACCCTGTTCTTCAGTGGTCAGGACCCCCACAGGACCCTCACAGAGCAGGTACTATTTGGGTGGTGGATCATTCTCAGCACTGCAGTAACACTGACATGGTGGTGGTGTGTTAGTGTGTGTTGCACTGGTCTGAGTGGATCAGACACAGCAGTGCTGCTGGAGTTTTTAAACACCTCAGTGTCACTGCTGGACTGAGAATAGTCCACCAACCAAAAACTTCCAGCCAACAGCGTCCTGTGGGCAGCGTCCTGTGACCACTGATGAAGGACTAGAGGATGACCAACACAAACTGTGCAGCAGCAGATGAGCTATCGTCTCTGACTTTACATCCACAAGGTGGACTGACAAGGTAGGAGTGTCCAATAGAGTGGACAGTGAGTGGACACAGTGTTTAAAAACTCCAGCAGCACTGCTGTGTCTGATCCACTCATACCAGCACAACACACACTAACACACCACCACCACATCAGTGTTACTGCAGTGCTGAGAATGATCCACCACCCAAATAGTACCTGCTCGGTGAGGGTCCATGGGGGTCCTGACCACTAAAGAACAGGGTAAAAGGGGGCTAACAAAGTATCAGAGAAACAGATGGACTACAGTCTGTAACTGTAGAACTACAAAGTGCACCTATATAGTAAGTGGAGCTGATAAAATGGACAATGAGCGTAGAAACAAGGAGGTGGTCATAATGTTATGCCTGATCGGTGTGTATAGTGGGGCTAAACTGCTGTAGGTTGAATGGGTGGATGTGAAAATGGTTGGTTTTTGTGACATCACAAAAACAGTGAATTTAAAACATCTTCATTTGCTTATTACTGGGCATTTAAATGAGGACAATTCTGTTTTCCATGATATGGGCCCTTTATTTTTGCTACTGTGCATTTAAGACTGTAAATTATATGTAAATATATGTAATTTATATGTAAATTATCTCTGTTCTGATTGGCTCTTTACACCACTTATAACTTCAGTGTGAATGGGCAGAGCTAAACTGCTGTAGGCTAAATAGGTGGATATGTATAAATATTTTTTTTTGTTTTCATGACATCACAAAAACAATTAATTCAAAACAGGCTGTTTTTTTGCAGCTTACATTCCACGTATAGGCTGTATGGACCGGAGAGTGAACGGTACGTTTTGAAACATTAACAAAATTTATTTAGTATATCAAACTTTTATTTTGAAAAGCTGAGGAAAATTCAGTTTTGCATGATATGGGCCCTTTAATTGATGTCAACACACACACACACACACACACACACACACAGACACATAGACACAAACAGACACACACACCTCGGTCGTAAAGTAGAAATTTTGACTTTAATAACACATCATTTGAATATTCAACTGTGTTTACAGTTTGTGTTTAGTGATTACGCTCTATGAACGTTAATAAAATTGATCTTTAAGGCTGTTAAAGAATGAATAATATCAGACGACAGTATTCAGAGTGAATTTACAGTATTGATCCTAATTATAATGATTGTAAAGAAATTACAAAGGAGTGAGAGATGGATAGAAGTGTAAATATTACATTTTAATATATATATTTAGAATGCATGCTTATAAGATTGTTATAATAGTTGCATCTTAATATAGAAGAGGTCAAAAGTAGAATTCCATCATTTCTGCATAACTCAGTGGTTGAGATGTAATCAGAGTGACTCAGAGTGGTTTGGTGTGAAATGGTTCAGGTGTCTCTACAGTGGTGCTGATAGGAACCAGGGGTCGCCATGACTACAACACAAATATAGACATTTTATTTACTATCCAGAACCACCAGTGAACCTACACGAGTCTTCTGAGTTTATATGGAATGTTGATGATGGAAAATAGTGGAAAATCTGAAATAATAAGTTTTCTTTGGGGACTATTTTGCCTCACAACACTCTGCTTTAGGTATCCCTCCACCATGAATGGAGTTTAAAGCCAAAATATTCTCAAAAACAGCGTCTCAGTCATCAGGCAGTGAATTCATAACCATTTCATGTAGGAACTTTCTGTGAGGGAGCTTTTAGAGGTGGACGTCTGGTTCCTATCACCACCACTGTGAACAGTTCTGACTCTAGAATGCAGCATTTCACGCCAAACCACTCTGAACAACTCTGTTTACATCGCAACAGAGGGGAACACTCAGGGCCTTTTAGGGTTTCAGAGAAGGACGAATGATTTCTGGGAACTGAAAAACACGTTTGTAGTTTTTAGGTTGATATAGCCAAGCGAGCTCTCCCATTGGTTAGGACTTCAGGAGCTGGACTGAAGGACTTACACATTAGATTAACTACCAATATAATTAGGAAGTGACAGAGGAATCAACCAATCATGCTTTGATTTGAATAGGTGGGACCAATTTTGTGAGAAAATGTCACTCTAGGCCTTCTGAAAGTTCTAGATACATCACTGACTGTGAATATGAACAGCAGCCTAATCAGCAGGTTGTTAGAAATGGAAAACAGTGGCAGCAGCTCTACACCAGAGCTCACTACGGAAAGAGTCACTGAGAAACTGATACAAGGTAAACGCTAATATGTCACAATCATCAAGGAAAACATGAAATGTCCTTTAGAGGCTTCAGATGGCTGTGTTTAAAGCACATGCATGAGGACTGTGTTAGCTTAGTGCTAACAAACTACTAGAATCCCAAAGAGATGCTAGCAGTAGTTAGAACTACCATTGAGGCGTTTTTTCCTCATGTTCTGACCAGGTTTTGATATTTATGGCTCGAATCGAAGCCCAGTCATGGCTCACCACTGCATCCTAACCATTTAGTTATGATGAAATGTTGAAAATATGTGAAAAATAAAAACCAAATTTCCTTCTAAAGCCTTGGTGCCCAGAGGCTTTCAAGCTCTTCAATCAGCAAACCTAGCATGATTGATTGATTTAAGCACTTGGTCAGTCTGTGGCCAGATTAAAAGGTTTCATTTGTTTCATATTTCACACACAATAAGACTAGCCACCTCGCAGCCGCAGTCATCCCAAATTGCGGATTTGAGTATAATGGCGCAGTCCTGCACCCCCTTATAATTATCAGGCTGACCGCCCCCCCATTTCGTGAACGTTAAAGCCTTTCCTTCCGTGTCTACAAACTGACCCTCTACCTGTCGGTCTGTGGTTCCAATGTAAGCGTACATTGAATCAAAAGGAGCGATTAGCTTAGCTAACACCTGGTTCTGCTCCTCGTTTCTTGGTAGGACGATCGCTCCTCCAGCGTCGCTGCAGAATTTCAGCGCTTGGTCAAAGTTTCCCGTCGTGCCGTCCGTCACGTAGTACTTCTGTCCCACTTTTCTGAACGTGGGGAAGCTCACAGCTGTGAATGGAAGGTGACAGTGTCATCACACCGATCAGGCATAACATTATGACCACCTCCTTGTTTCTACGCTCATTGTCCATTTTATCAGCTCCACTTACTATATAGGTGCGTTATATAGTATATTCAAGCTTTAATGCATTTGTGCTGCCTTTTGGATGTGAATCAGGTTCAGAAACATCTTACCTTTATCCAGAACGGAGATCTTGGCTGTGAGGCTCTTGATTTCTGACTGAAGAGATTTAATCGCACTGTCCTGAATGCCTGAAAAAAGGAAAGAGAATGACTGAACACTGTAAAATTAGCACATTTAATGCGCACACTATATCTGTAAAATCAACACTCCGTACACTCTCATGAATAAATGGGCCAAAAATGCATATTGATAAACAGAAAGCAGTTTAAAAATCCACTTTAACATGTGTTTAAACAAAAAAGTACAAAGATATTTAACATTTTATCTTATCTTAGAAACTAACTGAGATACCATAGCAACAGCCTTGCAAGGCCTTAGCAACTACCTGGGATACCACAGCAACTGCCTTGCAACGCCTTAGCAGCTAACTGAGATACCATAGCAACAGCCTAGCAACACCTTAGCAACTACCTGGGACACCATAGCAACTACCTAGCAACGCCTTAGCAACTAACTGAGATACCATAGCAACAGAGACTAACAAAAAAAAGACTATAGCCTTTCTAAGGAGATGTAATTCACAGTGCCTTTCTTGTGCCTGTTCTGGGATCTGTTTACCTGGTGGACCTGCATCTCCTTTTGCTCCTTGGGGTCCAGGTGGACCTGCTGGTCCTGCTTTTCCTGGAGGTCCCTGCACACTCAGTCCTGAAATCAGAGCACAGTGGTCACTTTCCTGCTGCCCTCTGTTTTCTGAAGCCCCACCGACTCTCTCTGTAACTCTGAACTGCGCCCACATACCCGGCTCTCCCTTCTCTCCTTTGGGTCCGGCGGCTCCGTCTCTCCCGTCTCTCCCGTCTCTGCCAGGAAGGCCGTTGTGTCCGGGAGTTCCTGGAACCCCAGCAGAGGCAGGACAGCTGAGAGTTTGAGGAGCTCCAGCCTCAGATCCACCAACCAGATGCAGCTCCAACTGCAGCAGCAGCAGCAGAGCAGTGAGGATCTGACTGAACAGCGCCATCCTCTGTTCACTGTGGGAAATGATAATGTATACTGTGCAGGAGATGCATTTTGAACAGGTTTTTCTCTTGTTTTGGCTTCGAGAGCGACCGTTGCAATGTTGTGATGGCGCTTCAGCACTCATAATATATGAACACTGTTTATATTTCTTTCCTGAAGCTGAAAAAAGTTTGAAACTGGGAAGGCCGACTCACAGATCAGTGTTAATACTGTTAATGGGTGGAACTATACTGGCTCTAAAATAAGCTAAACTTAATCTGGGTTACTGTACTTGCTAATGTTCACTTTGAAGTCATTTCTATCAATAAATATCATTATACGACAATATTAGGGTCAGGACGCTAAAAAAGAGGGGGTTCCACCATCAGAGATTAATCTTAGGCCCAGTCCCATTTCACCCCTCTCCCCTACCACTCAGCCCTTAGCCCTCTGTTTTGCGCTTTCACGTCTAGGGGTGTCCCAATTCTTGTTGAGATAGAGGGGTAAGGTGAGGTGTTGGGGCTACATGATCCTCCAAACTGAGGTTTCTCAGAGACTCCAAACAGAGAGATATGAGGAAAAAAAGAAAAACTGGCAAGATGGAGAACAAGAGACCAAAGAAACACACAAATGTGAGAATTTTCACTGTTAAAAAATTATGATAAACATTGTTTTATCTTAGTTTAATATTGTTTCAGTGTATTTTGGTCATTTTCTTCGTAACTAATGTCTCGGTAGCTATCCAGCTAACTTTCCCATTCCACCTTAAATGGTCCAGCAGTTCTGATGCCTGAAGCGCCATAATGTAACTGATGTACCATTTAAGGTGGAACGGGAAAATTCTAACAAGAAGCTGGTGAATATCTGACTTCAGCTTCATATCACTGAAGAATTAGGGGTGGTGATAATAAATAATTGCCCCCTCTTTGAAGATCATATGATGCCCTAAATGTAACTAAAGCCCAGCAGTGAGGAGCTGAACTTTACCCTCCTCTGCTGTCACTGCAGACTGGCAGGGTCTCCTACAGAGCAGCGCTGGTAGCTGTTAATGAAGTGATGCTCTTTTTATTTGAGGGTCCCATTTCAGAGGGAAGATTTCAACCACTACCCTGTAACTCAGTTCCAAGGGGCAACACTCGAAAACAAGGGGTAGGGGTAAACAGAAGAAATGGGACTGGGCCTTAAACATGGATTAGATGTATCTATTAATCCAGTTACTCAGAGTGGTGGTGTGACAGTCACATGATCTCTCAGTGAGTTCTGGGAAGTGGAGTTCTCCAAACAGTCAGATCCGGAGAGATGTGTGAGAGCTAGGCTTTACATTTAAGTAATTACGGAATTTTTACTGTAAAACTGCAACTTACAGAGTAACTTACGGAGTGTTTGTGTTTAAAATATTTAAAATCAAATTATGAACACATTTTGTGTATAATTTAAGCAGCCTTCTCAGAGTTGGCTAAACGGCTCTAGGCTAGTTTTTACTCAAAATAAAAAATTAAAGACAGATTAGATAAGAATTAGGGCTGAGAGTAACGTGTATTGTGCCAAATCCATCATAGTGGACAATCAAAATGAATGGCAGGTTGAGGTTTTAACCACAGATTTAGGCTTAAATTGCAGATTTGTTGGTGCAACACAACTTGATTAAACATAAAAGCCAGAACAACGAACCCTTGGTTAGCTGGTAGAACCCACCCTACGTTAGCTTTTTTAGCTTAGCTATTGACAGCTATCTTGATAAACTCAGTCACGTTGCCTCGCCGCAGTGTAGCCGGTCTAGTTTGAGAGAGTACGACCCTCTGATTGTTGTAAGATGTGTTTAATGTTTGTAAGTTGACTCATTTCTGAGCTATAAAGCTTAGAAACAGCCATGTACAGTTTGAGTGCTAAGCGTTAAATAGAGTCTGGGTTAAATACTATGATGTGACTGAATAGTGTAGTGGGCACTTCCAATACTGCTCCCCCAAAATGTCTGGGCACGGGCGTTCTTACTTCCTATCAAGATCTCTAAGACATTCTGTTTCTTTACCTGTTTTTAAAAAAATCTTAATTTTCTTTTTAGACGTTTTTATAAATGAATTCTTGTTTCATTTTAAGTAATTCTGGGTCTCTTTTCATAATAAGAATATTAAGACTTTTCTTTTTAGACCTGTTTTCATGAATTATTCTGCTTTGTTTGTGAACTCTGGATCTTTTTAAGTATAATTTTATGATATTTCCTTTTAAATGTGTTTTTTGTTTTGTTTAAAGGAATTCTGTGCCTTTTTAAGTAGAATCTTACGACACTTCTTTTTAGATGTGTTTATGAAATTTTGTTTTATTTTTCTGTAAATCACCCTGAGTTGACGTTATAGATAAAATTTAGTGTTATTTATAATAAGTTCAGTTCAATTTTATACAACAGCTGAAAAAAGTCCAGCTGCTCTTTACATCATGTGAAAATATCACCAATAGAAATGACCTAAAATGACCTGGAATAAAATCATTTTACATTAATGAACATTAAATTTAAGAATACTTTTTACATAAAGTTAAGAATCTTTTACATAAAGTTATCATTTCAGATGTTACAACTGTAATAAAATATACAGATAATTTACAAAAAAGTTTACATATCAGCTTCTTGTTATTGTCTGTACCCTTACGTAGTGGAGAGTAATTCTCCTGAGAATCTGAGGCTGTGCGTCCTTGTTTAATCCTCCGTATTACTGATTACCGTGTAAATGAAAATAACTCTGTTAATTTATAATATCAAATATGTTGGAAATCAAATGTACAATCATCCTGAATGTCAAGAAAACATTTAAAAAGCAGTAAAAAATATGAAAGCGGAAAAATAAAGTTTCTTACCAGGCGACTGTGTTTCTTCAACAGGAAAAGCTCAGAATTAAGAAGACAATACAGTGGCTAACGCTCTTCCCAACACTACTGACCAGTAAGGGACGTTTTCCTTCCTCCAGAACTGCTGATGCTGAACTACTGAGGCTCAGTAGGTCTGAGTTCAACTGATTCATCAGCTGTCTGGCCTCTTTATTAGAAACACCTACTTATCTTCACCATGTTCTACTAATTTAGCTTAAACTGTGCTTTAACAGTGAAAAAATAATTAGAAATCACTGCATTCAGATACTTACAAGGATTGTTTTATAATAGAGATAGTAATAAGCTAAATCATATACAAAATATACAAAATCATCATTTCTAGAGTATTTTCTGTTGGGATGTGTTTGTCCAAACCGTAACCCCTAAATATAAAATATACTTCTGCATATCTTTAAAAGAATAAAGTGAAGCTGGAAGATTTTGATTTATCATGGGTTTAAAAATGCTGTCCCACATTTTCATGTCACCACCGAAACACAATGGGCCTCGTTTTCCAGCCGTTCTTAAGAAGAAATTTCTTCTTATGCAGTTCTGACGAAGATTCTGACTCACCACTGTTCTCTTATGTGGGGTTTGTTCTTAGGTAAGAACAGAATCTACACACACTCAAGAGCACAAAGGGGAGAACAGTTCTGCACTTGAACACCGTAAGCACATTTAATGCACACAGTATATCTGTAAAATCAACAATCCGTACACCGTACAATAAAAGACCCAAGAATGCATATAAAAACCGTTTGTAAATCCACTTTGACATGTATTTAAACAAAAATGTACAATGATTTTTAATGTATCTCATCAGCTTCAGTGCTTTTTGTAAAAATATGCTCATTCAGAAACTGATGTCTGAAACATGTACCAAAAAAGTTGGTACAGGATCAATCTAAGACTATGAATGTTGTTAAATGTTCAGATGATCAGACTGTGCCCTCATGCTTGGGTATAACAGAAGCATCCAGGAAATTCTTGTTGAGATAGAGGGGTAGGGTGAAGTGTTGGGGCTACATGACCCTCCAAACAGAGGTTTTTCAGAGACTCCAAACAGAGAGTTACGAGAAAAACAGAAAAATCAGCAAGACGGAGAACAAGAGACCAAAGAAACCCACAAATGTGAGAATTTTCTCAGCTAAAAATTATGATAATCACTGTATTATCTTAGTTTAATGTTGTTTCGGTGTATTATGGTCCTTTTCTTCATAATAAGCATTCAAAATCACTAGAAGTGCTGACGTCTCAGTAGCTAAATTTCCCATTCCACCTTAAATAGTCCAGCAGTTCTGATGCCTGAAGCGCCAGAATGTAACTGCTGCACCATTTAAGGTGGAACGGGAAATTTAAACGAGAATCTGATGATAACTGACTTCAGCTTCATATCACTGAAGAATTAGGGGTGGGTGATAATAAATAATTGCCCCCTCTTTGAAGGCATATGATGCCCTAAATGTAACTAAAGCCCAGCAGTGAGGAGCTGAACTTTACCCTCCTCTGCTGTCACTGCAGACTGGCAGGGTCTCCTACAGAGCAGCGCTGGTAGCTGTTAATGAAGTGATGCTCTTTTTATTTGAGGGCCCCATTTCAGAGGGAAGAGTTCAACCACTACCCTGTAACTCAGTTCCAAGGGGCAACACTCGAAAACAAGGGGTAGGGGTAGAAATCAGAAATGGGACTGGGTCGTCACTGCCTTTAAAAAGTCACCTACTTTTCTCTACTGTAGTGAGTCTGGCTTTGAGAGCTTGGACTTCAGACTGAAGAGGCGTGATCAAGCCATTTGGTACCGAACCTGAGAACAAAACAAGGAGATGTAATAGAGAATGTTTAGCAATGTCTTTCATGTTTCTGTTCTGGGATCTGTTTACCTGGTGAACCTGGAACTCCCTTTGGTCCTTGGGGTCCAGGGGGACCTGCTGGACCGACTGGTCCTGCCTTTCCTGGAGGTCCCTGCACACTCAGTCCTGAAATCAGAGCACAGTGGTCACTTTCCTGCTGCCCTCTGTTTTCTGAAGCCCCACCGACTCTCTCTGTAACTCCCACATACCCGGCTCTCCCTTCTCTCCTTTGGGTCCGGGGGCTCCGTCTCTCCCGTCTCGGCCAGGAAGGCCGTTGTTTCCGGGAGTTCCTGGAACCCCAGCAGAGGCAGGACAACCGAGAGTTTGAGGAGCTCCAGCCTCAGATCCACCAACCAGATGCAGCTCCAACTGCAGCAGCAGCAGCAGAGCAGTGAAGAGCTGACTGAACAGCGCCATCCTCTGTTCACTGTGGGAGTGGCAAACTTTAATTATATAATATTTATACAGTACTGCATGTTCTAAATACAAATAAACAAATAATCTTAGTTTGACAACTTCCAAAGCTCTCCTGGAGGAAGTCCAGTATTTACATTTACTTATATCTAGTTTATCTAATCAGTCCTTAGACTGTGTAGAAATCTGTGTTCTTCTATTTGTATTTATGTTATATAGTGTTTTTACAGGTGACGTTGCACCTTCTGTGGAGATAAATAATTTAAAATGACTATAAATTAATAGTTTTTAAATTTTGTTGATTTTTGCACAGTTGAGTAGAAATAAAGGTTCTGTTTAGGTACATTTTTCCTTCATCAAGGTACAAACAGTGTAAATGTTCCCTCAAAGCTCCAACAGTGGTTTTAAGGTCTGATTGTGAACCTTAAATAAGTGTTTCCAGATGAAAAGTTCGTATTTGTACCTTTTCATAACCGAATGTTTTAAACAGAACAGTAAAATAAAGTCCTGGAGACGAGACGGGGTGTGTGGAGTCAGTACAGCTTAGAACATATCATTTCAGTGGATTATGGTTCAGTTATGTTCCCTGACTAAAGGTACTGAGATGGACAGTTTAGTACCTTTATTTCTGAGAGTGTATGTGTATTTAGGGAGCACCCTCCATTTATTTATTTATTTTGAGTCAGAATGGCCATTTTATTTTTCAGTGTTAGGAGGAAAAAAACAGTGTTTAGTCCACTCTTCACCTTTATTCCAGCTTCCATTCTTCTCAGGAGACTCTCTTTCAGCTCCTCAAAGAATCTGCAGACACACCTCCAAAGTTCAGTCTTAGAAGCTGGTTGATCATTTTCTGAAGTAATCAAACACATTCAGTGGTGTTGAGGTCTGGACTCTGGGGTGGTCAGTCCATCGTTCAGCTTCTTTGTTTGATGTGTCCGTCTCCTTTTCTCAGTGAGGTTCTTCTTGATCAGCTACACATCCTTTCAGACCCACAGCGCTGAGTCGTCTTCTCACAGTGGAAGGATGGACAGAAACACCTGTGGATGTTTTCAGATCTGATCAGCTTGATTTTCTTCTCTCTCTCAGAGATGAAAGCTTTAAGTGCTGTTTATCTGATGGGGGCAGTTTTGGGGTCGACCAGGTCTTCCAGGTGGTTGTTAGGAGACACATTTTCTCTGGAGCTTTAATCAGTTTTTGAACTGCAGTGTTCCTGGTGCACTGTGACCGGCGTTAGTATGTTAGTAACGAGGAAAAAACACCTTTACTGCAGTTTCTCCTAGCACACCTATGGGAGTTTAGTAGTAATAAACAAATGGCGATTCATATAAAAAAACTGGGTCATTCTAGATTAATTTTAAGCCTATAAATGTCATTCCATATGTTTCATTTGAAGTTTGTAACATACATTATCATATATCTGAGCCTGTCTGTATCAGTGTTACAGTGACTCTTTCAGTGAAGAGTCCTGCATAGAGCTGCTGCCACTGTTTTACATTCCTAGCAACTAACTAGAACCTGCTTAGTCCATGACTCATATTCACAGTGTTATCTAGAACCTTCTGAAGGACTCAAGTGAGATTTTCTCAAAATTGGTCCCCTTGTGAACAACAGCATGATTGGTTGATTCCTCTGTCACTTCTTAACTATATTGATAGCTAATCTGATGTTTATGTCCTTCAGTTCGGCTCCTGAAGTCCTGACCAATGGGAGAGCTCACTTGGCTGTATCTACCTAGATACCACTGAGAGACCAATCCTGATTGGACAATTTTCTGTATACATTTCAACCTCATGGTTCCTCCCCACTCATACTGTACATGCTTGTGTGCAAGTTTTGGCACCCTCGGTCAGAGTACTTGTTTTATTGCTTTTTTAAGTGAATAATAATTGGACACATCATTTACAGGGAACACTCTTAAATATGCCATTTACCTGCATAACTTCATTTGCTTTCTAAGAATTTACTACATTAGAAAATCACATACAGTAACTGTGCATTAAAATTTGAGGACATTTATTTACATCTATTCAGAGAGAAAAACAACAAATTGTAATTTGACCAGGTTTATCCAAACCTTTGAACAGCACTGTGCAAAGAGTACATATTTGCTTTTTTGAATAAATTTGCATCCATTTTCTTCTGAACTGTTTCTAAGATTTAATAACACATAGCTGATTTGCATTTTGTTCAGGTAATTTCCCCTTTTTCTGTCGGTCAATGCAGCCAAATGTAATGCTAGAGTTGAACTACAACAAAATAAAAGCAGCATTTATGCTTTAAAAAGTGCCAAAAACATTTGCATGACATTAAGGAGTTTTTCTTTATATAAGGTTATTACAAATCATTGTATAAAAGTCATAATTATGAACATAACATGTAAAACCATATAAAAACACTAAAAGGCATCTTACCAGCAGGACGAGGGTTTCAGTACCAAGAAAAGGTTCAGTTTGGTGGAGCTTCACTGTTTGCAGACTCTTTTGACACAGAAGGAGGGTCTTATTCCTGGCCCAGGGGTCTATTAACTGCTCCCGTCCTGCCTCTCTGCTGCTCCAACGTGTAAACACAGTAATTCAAAAGGAACAGCTGTGGCATCGCTGTGGAATTTCAGCTCTTAGGTAAAATGACAGCATACATCTGTTTAAGGTAGTTGAATGGGGGGAAAATCTCAGATGAAATCTATGACAGTTTCAAATATACAAATATAGACATTTTATTTACTATCCAGAACCACCAGTGAACCTACACGAGTCTTCTGAGTTTATATGGAATGTTGATGATGAAAATAGTGGAAAATCTGAAATTATAAGTTTTCTTAAAAGAACAAAATTGAAGAAGCGCTAAAGAAGTTACAAATGGGTGGGCATGGGTGCAAAAACCAAAAAAAAAAACATCTGCATCCACAAAGCATGTGCAAAAATAAGGCAGCACACCGTTTTAAGAAAAGTAAAAAAAAGCCTTTATTGAAAATGGCAACATGTATAAACATGTGCCGACACACTACAGGTCACGATATGTTAGCACACTTTTATACATCGCCTTGTATAAGAAACTGTAGCTCCCACTGAAGGAGAGCTATGAAAGAGAGCGTTCAGGAGTGAGTTGCGCCACTTCTTACTCAAGTTCACAGATGTTTCTTATTTATAAAAACTGTGTTTGCTGTCCTGTTCATTCTTGTGTAATCTGGAACGGTACAAATTTAATTAACAACTGCTGAGGGATTTTTCCTGCAGCCTCCTCTATGTTTTCCATTCCATTCCTAGCAAGGGCTAGTTCAGGGACTGAGGCAGGGGCTGGTTTAGGGACTGAGGCGGGAGTGAGGTCAGGAACTGAGGCAGGAGCTAGGTCAGGGACTGAGGCAGGAAATGGTCCAGGGACTGAGGTGGAAGCTAGGTCATAGACTAAGGTAGGAGCTAGTTTAGGGACTAAGGGAAGGAGCCAAGTCAGGGACTGAGACAGGAGCTGGGTGAGGACTGAGGCAACAGCTGGGTCAGGGAATGAGACAGGAGATGGGTGAGGACTGAGGCAGAAGCTGGGTCAGGGACTGAGGTAAGAGCTGGGTCAGGGAATGAGATAGAAGATAGGTCAGGGACTGAAGCAGAAGACGGTTGAAAGACTGAGGTGGGAGCTAGTTCAGGGACTGAGGCAAGAGCTGGGTCAGGGACTTAGGCAGGAGCTGGGTCAGGGACTGAGGTAGTAGCTGGGTCAAGGACTGAGGCAGAAGCTGGGTCAAGGATTGAGGCAAGAGCTGGGACATGGGTTGATGCAGAAGCTGGATATGTAACTCAGGAAAACAACAAATTCCCCATAAACAAATCAAACCAGATAATGACCTGTTTAACAGAAAATCAGCAGCCTTGGTGTCGCTTTCCAGCTCTTCAGCTCCTTCAGGTTTCTTCATCCAGGCGTTTTTTTTCCCCAATCTTCTCCCCAATTTAGTCATATGTAACTCCACCCTCTAGTTTGGACTCAATCACAATGCCACCAGCTCTAGGAGGGTGAAGGCAAACACAGGCTTTCTTTTCAAACTGCCGTTAACGCAGCATCACTGGACAGCTGAACACGCTCGGAGGAGAACCCTAACCGCCAGTTCTGTTACATCAGCTAACAGATACCTGCACTAGCTAGCTTGGTGGAGCTCGAGTTCCCCCTGCAATCCTCTGCAAGCGTTCACTCTATATGTGATATATACACTCATTGGCTGTATATATGATATATATGATATATTCACTCATTAACTGTATATATGACATATGATATATACACCAACTGACTGTATACATGACATATAGGACAATCACTCTTTGACTGTATATATTATGTACATGATATTCACTCTTTGACTGTATATATTATATATATGACATTCACTCTTTGACTGTATATGTGATATATTTACTCACTGGCTGTATATGTGATGTATATACACTCACTGGCTATATATATGATATATACACTCATTTGCTGTACATGTGATATATGTTATGTACACCCATTGTATATATGATATGTATGATATATACTCATTGACTGTATAAATCATACAAGACATATTTGCTCTTTGACTGTATTTATGATATAACATTTACACTCTTTGACTGTATATGTGATATATATACTCATTGACTATATATGCTATATGACATTCAGTCTTTGACTATATATTATATATATGGCATTCACTTATTGGCTGTATATATGATACATAATATATACACTCATTTGCTGTGTATATGATATGTATGATTTATTCACTCATTAACTGTATATATATGTTATATATCGCTGCTGTTGGAAGAAAACCTCGTATCTCCATTTTTGACGTTTTTCAGTTTTTGACATAATTTGAAAATACATGTCACCCTTTACATTGTGTGTAAATTTCATGATGAATGGACAAAAAGAAATGACCTGAAATTACTTGAAAAAAGTCTGGTTCCATTGACTTACATTAAAAGTAAAGTAGGTTTTTTCCTTCTCCTGTAAAGTTACCATTTTGGAGATACGAGGTTTTGTTCCGACAACAGCGACATACTCATTGACTGTACATATCATATGACATTCACTCTTTGACTGTATATATGATATATACACTCATTGGCTGTTTTTATAATATATATGATGTTATATATGTAATGTACACACTCATTGGTTGCTGGACATCAGTGATGAAAATTGGAAATCACTGATGAAATCAAATGATTTTCATGTTCAGGTTCTACATTCACATGACAAAAAACAATGTTAATGTTAATGAATTACTGAAAGTATTTAAGCTCCAATGAAGCTTTCTTTGTCCACTCATATAGCTAACAACATTCTTTAAGGACAGATTTGAGCCAATAACACATTGCGATTAACTACATAACGTAATGTGACTAATTCTGAATCATTCCTAGGTGCTAACTTCTTAATTCACACACAACATTGAAATCTGAATCACAATTTAGGTCGTTCCACTCGGCATTAGTGTAAATACCAACACAGTCCTCTTTCCCTTGATGATTGTTGGGCTCATTTGGCATCCAGTTGGTGAAGGTCAGAGGTTTTTTGTTCAGATCTACAAAGTGACCCTCTGTCTCTCTGTCTGTTGTACCGAGCAGTATGTAGGTTGAACCCAAAGTTGCATGCATTGCAGATAAAGCTTCATTTTCAGCTTCATTTCTTGGTAAAACCATGGTGCCACCAGCGTCAGTGCAGAACTTCAGACCGCGGTCGAATTTTGCCTTCATCCCGTTTGACACGTAGTATTTCTGCCCTACTTTCTTGAAGATGGGAAAACCTGCAGCTTAACATAAATTAGGCACAGAGAGTTATTTCAGAGGAAGTCAGGAATCAGATGCACTTCATTGTGTACTTTAGTCTTCACAGATCTCACGTGGTCACCTACCTTTCTCCATTGTAGAGAGTCTGACTTTGAGAGACTGGAGTTCTGACTGAAGAGATTTGATCAAGTCATTGTCTGCAGTGCCTGTGGATTTGAATCGAAACGATTCAGAGCATCCTTTACAAACAGTGCAGAGTGTCATATTTCTATTACCTGTTTCAGGGACTTAGCAGGAGTTAGGTCAGGGACTGAGGCTGGAGCTGGGTCAGGGACTTAGCAGGAGTTAGGTCAGGGACTGAGGCTGGAGCTGGGTCAGGGACTGAGGTGGGAGCTGGGTCAGGGACTTAGCAGGAGTTAGGTCAGGGACTGAGGTAAGAGCTGGGTCAGGGACTGAGGTGGGAGCTGGGTCAGGGACTTAGCAGGAGTTAGGTCAGGGACTGAGGTAAGAGCTGGGTCAGGGACTTAGCAGGAGTTAGGTCAGGGACTGAGGCTGGAGCTGGGCCAGGGACTGAGGCAGGAGCTTGGTCAGGGACTGAGGCAGGAGCTAGGTCAAGAACTGAGGCAGGAGATGGGTCAAGGATTGAGGCAAGAGCTGGAACATGGGTCGATGCAGAAGCTAGGTCAGAGACTGATGTGGGAGCTTAGTTAAGTATAACACAGGGACTTGTTGACAGAGTCAGCTTTAGTTACACGGCAGGAACTGGATCAGGGACTGAGACAGGAGCTGGGTGAGGACTGAGGCAGGAGATGGGTCAATGACTAAGGCAGGAACTAGTTCAGGGACTGAGATGGGAGTTAGGTCAGGGACTGAGACGGGAGCTAGGTCAGGGACTGAGGTAGTAGCTAGGTCAAGGACTGAGGCAGGAGCTAGGTCAGGGACTGAGGCAGGAGCTGGGCCAAGGACTGAGATGGGAGTTAGGTCAGGGACTGAGATGGGAGCTAGGTCAGGGACTGAAGTATTAACTAGGTCAAGGACTGAGGCAGGAGCTAGGTCAGGAATACCACAAGGACTGTCAGTTTTACTTACAACAGTTGTTTTTATATCAGAAACCTTTGAAGAGAAGGCAGAGTACCTCCCTGAACCTGTACAACTAATAAAATTCTCACTTCTTTTGTCATGGCCACATCCTCAGCAGCGAGGTTCCAGCACTCTGTCTCCTCTCAGTTTGATATACCTTGTAACAGCTCTACTTAAGTTCCACTTTGTTCTGTTTACTTTGCACACTCATGTCTTTTTACGTCTGTCTCTGTGCCCAAATTCAGGATACCTGTCTCATGATAGTCTTGCCTCAAGTTCCAATCTTTGTGGTTGTCCTCTTACTGTTCTTTTGGTGGGTTATTTTTTTATTCATATTGTGTGTCTGTTTACCTGGTGGACCTGCATCTCCCTTTGGTCCTTGGGGTCCAGGTGGACCTAATGGACCTGCTGGTCCTGCCTTGCCTGGAGGTCCCTGCACACTCAGTCCTGAAATCAGAGCACAGAGGTCACTTTCCTGCTGCCCTCTGTTTTCTGAAGCCCCACCGACTCTCTCTGTAACTCTGAACTGCGTCCACATACCCGGCTCTCCCTTCTCTCCTTTGGGTCCGGCGGCTCCGTCTCTCCCGTCTCTCCCGTCTCTGCCAGGAAGGCCGTTGTGTCCGGGAGTTCCTGGAACCCCAGCAGGGGAAGGACAGCTGAGAGTTTGAGGAGCTCCAGCTTCAGATCCACCAACCAGATGCAGCTCCAACTGCAGCAGCAGCAGCAGAGCAGTGAAGAGCTGACTGAACAGCGCCATCCTCTGTTCACTGTGGGGAAATTATATGTATGTACACACACTGCTGGGCAAAAAAAATGGGCCAAGCCCAAAATATAAATGCTTTTTTACAGCTTGATTAGCTCATAAACTTAAAGTTGTTTATCGTCAGGAAGGTCAGAATCAGGTCTGACACCTTCCCGGAACATTCAGATCAAACAACCTTTTACGACTCACGCTTATCTCTGGTGCTTTGATCATTTTCAGTGGCCTTCGCACGTGTCACAAAATGGAAGGTCCAGAGGGCTCCCCTCTGGTAATTAGGACATCTTGTAAAGATTACGTGCTACATTGAAGGTTCTCTTGGTGAAGATTTACAGCCACAATTTCCTTCTGAACTGGTCTGAAGGTTTGATAGCACATCGCTGATTACATGTCCTGCAGGTAATTCCTGCTCAGCTGCACATCTTCTAGCAAATGCAGCCAAATGTAACAGCAGCAATGGGACATTTTCCAAATCACAAGACCAACAATCTAAAACCTGTTTTCCCTTAAATACGACTAACTTCAGGAAAAATGTTAAGGTACACTATAAAAAGAGATGGTTCCTCAAGGGTTCTTTAGTAAAGGAAATATTTGTATATAAGTATGAACACTCAAAGAACCACTTGAGTGATTAAAAGGTTCTTTGCATGGTGAAATGGTTCTTCAGACTGATGGAGAATGTGTTGTAGATTTTTGAAAAGGGTTTTGGGTTTTGCTATTGTCACCGTGTCAGGCTTGTAACAATAAAAGGCCCTTTTTTTGGTGCTACATAGAACCATATTGCTGGAACAAAACCATGTATGTCAGTTTTTGTTGTTTTTTAGTTTTTGACATAATTTGAAAATGCCTGTTGTCGTTTACATTGTGTATACATTTCATGATGAATGGACCAAAAGAAACGACCCAAAATGACTTGGAAAAAAGTCTGGTTCCATTGACTTACATTAAAAGTAAAGTAGGTTTTTTCCTTCTCCTGTAAAGTTACCATTTTGGAGATACGAGGTTTTGTTCCTACAACAGCGATATGCAACACATTATCCATCAATTTGAAGAACCATTTCATGCAGTGAACCATTTAATCACCTCTAGTGTTCAAGGTTCTATATGGAAACATTTTCTGTACTAAAGAACCCTTTAAGAGCCATCTTTTGTGAGAGTGTATGAGAATATAATCTCAATGATCCTCATAAATGACTTCACTGATGAATATCCATAATCTGATACTGTCCTACTCCTTCATGCTGCAAGTTGGAAATAATATCATTTTGAATATTGGCATATATTTTATTCCGTAGGTTGTAATGCAGCAGTTTATTAAAAAAATAAAATGATGGATAAGTTGTGTCTGATTATGGAACCAAATTTCAGTACCTCCCCACTCAGAAACAGTCTACATTCTGATAAAACTGTATATTTTTAAAAATATAATGCATTTAAAATGTACATATATACAAGACTTCTAATGTGTTCCCCTTATTAAAGATTGTCCGTGTGAGGTTGTTCCAAATGATCAACACCATAACAAAACTAAGAAGAAGCAGTGAAAAGGCATCTTACCGCAGAGACAAGCTTCATCAGCGAGAAGGTCAGTCTGAGGAAACTCCGCCTTAAACAGGCTGTAAAGACGGAGAAGATCTTCCTCCTTCACTCAGATCAGTGAGCTGACCTTGACCAGCCGCGTCAGCTCCAGTGTGTAAACACAACAAACTGACGGGAATAAGTGAGTAAAGTGCACTATTAAAAACAACGGTTCTTCAAGGGTTCTTTAGTAAAGAAAATGCTTCTATATAGAACCATGAACACTTAAAGTACCCTTTACATGATTAATTGTTCCTCTGCATGGTGAAAATGTTCTTCAGATTGATGGAGAATGTGTTGTATATGGTTCTATGCAGCACCCAAAGGGTTCTGCTATTGTTACGATAAAAGCTTGTTACAATAGGTATTATTGGTATATGGTATATAGAACCATTTTCAAAAAGGTTCTATATAGAACCTTCTAGAGCACTTTCTCCATCTGAAGAACCATTTCACCATGCAGAGAACCCTTTAATCGTGCAGATGGTTCTTTGTGTTCATAGTTCTGCAATATAAGTTGCTGTAAGTTTTATTCAACCTAAATAAATATTTAGAATAAATGATTCTTTCAGTCAATGTCATTTTTGAGTTGAATAAAACTAGTTTAATTGCTCATTATCACATGAAGTATTTCTCTTTAATCATACAAACGGTTCTTTGAGTGTTCAAGGTTCTATATAGAACCATTTTCTTTACAAAAAAATCCTTGAAGAACCACCTTAGAGTTTAACCAGGTTTATTTATGTAGCACAGTTTATACACAGGGGGTCATTCAGAGCTTTACAAACACAGAATGAAAACATAATAAACGTTTAAAGCCATAAAATGAGAATAAAAGGTTAAAGTATGAATAAAATATACAGATATAACGTATATAAAATATACACTAGAATAAGGAGAGATTAAATTTGCTAGAAGTTTTAGACTATAAAGTGGAAGCAGAGTGCAGAACTTCATTCAGTGTCATTTTAATCTTTATTTTGTTGCTGTAGGGACAAAACCTTATTTTTTGACATCATTTGAAAAAAAGCAGTTGCCCTTTATGTTGTCAAAATTTCGTGATGAACAGACCAATATAAATAGTCTGAAATTGGCTTGGAATAAAACATTTCTCCATTCACTCCCATCACAGGTTAAGAAGGTTTTTCCTTATCCTTGTAAGGGCCCATGCTGCGTCACCAGCCGCCAGCAGAGGGCGACGGCAGCAACGGCAAGGTGCCCAGCCTGCGCCGCCGGTGGTGAGGTGCTATAACTTCAGGGAACTCCAATTCCCAGAAGCCCTCGGGCTGATTAGGCCCAACAAGACACACCTGTGGACTCCTCTACTTAAGCCTGTGGCAAACAGCAGCCCTTTGTCACACCTTTGTAGAGGGGTGACTGGTATGGTACTTAGCCCAGGTGGGTATTTAAACAAAAAGAAAAGAAAAGAGGGCTGTAAAAACCAAAAGAGAGAAATTGCCCCCAAACTACTTAAAAACCACAAGAAGGCTTGAGCTACAAACGACCCAAAAGGTGTTTGCTCCCCTGAGAGCAAACAGGTGAAACATAAAGCTGACCTTCCTCTCTGAATCACAGAGGAAGAGTCTTTTGTTTTCTGATTCTCTTATTTCACGTTTCTAGTTCAGCCTTTGTTTGAGCTGCTTTCAGGGTCCCCTTTGTTTGTCCTTTTTCACGCCTTTTTATTTCCCGTTCCTTGAGGTGTTTTTCCCCATTCTTGCCTGGGCTTCCCGGTGGCGCAGCGGTAACTCCACGGACCGAGCCTGGCTCTGGGTCACCTCAATCCCAACGTGCCAAATTCACATCCCATTGCCTCAATACATTTATTTAACACCCTTTCTCACGAGGTTTCATCTTTGCACTTGGGTCCGCCTCCCTGCCGTCTCGTAACACTCAATACAATATTTTGTTCCGCCAGCAGCGATTTAAAGATGACTAACGTCAGGGTGAACCTTATGAACACTACTTTAGTTACATGACCAGTCAGACGTTTGGACACACCTTTTTTTTGTAAAAGAGTTTTCTTTATTTTTGTCCACATTTGAGAAGAACAATGAAGACACGAACACTATAAAACAGCACATATGAGAGGAGAGCAGATCCAAACCATCCTCTGTTTCAGTTCTGCCTCCGTCTGTCTAGATGCAGCTTTACGCATTGTTTGAAGTTCTCTCAGAAGCTTCATGAGGAACAAGCGGAGATACAGCACTGTGTCCAGCAGCTGTAACACTCAATAAACATAAATGCAGTAAAAAGTAACAAAGTCTTGATTTGGAAAAAAAAAAAAAAAATCTCATGATCTGGTTAGAAGAACAAGTTTGCTTCCTGATTTCTCTGGAAAAGGCCTGAAAAGCGTTTTGCAATTTTTGCTGTCCTGCAACTTTTTTTCATCAAACTGACTTTCAGCACTAAAAATGTTTTATGTAACACCATTAACACGTTTTCGTTTATTGATAGTGTTGACATGTTCTCTAAATTCCTGTATGTTGCAACTTGTGAACCTTTGACTTCCCCAACTTCCTCATAACCTACTCATAAGGACATTTCTGTTTATTTTATTTTATTATTATAAATATTTTTTTATTGGAACCGTTATGGTTTTTGTACCAATGTCATTTGTCCTGATTCTAATTTCTGTTTTTCTCAGGTGCCTAAACTTATGCACAGTACTGCATTTTTCCAAAAGGATTATGGACGATATACACATACAGAACAGCAGCTGTTTCAAAAAAACTTTTTTTCATGTTCTAAATTTAAACACAATTGAAATGTTACTTTCATCTGTTTTGTTTGTTTGTTTGTTTGTTTGTTTGTTTGTTTGTAATTATTTATTTATTTATTCTGAAATAATTTCATGCAATAAATTGTCTCATAAACAAATCTGGGTAACACTTTACTGTACGGTACTCTTTGTAAGACTACATGACACATAAGCTTGCCATGACAGCTGACATAACCCTACATAAATGTTTATGAAAGCTTATCAGCATCATTCGCTATAAAGGTTACATTTTCCAATTTTGACTTTACCCTCCAGCACAGTGTTACTGAAATTTGTTCTGCATGTAAGAATAAAACCTTTGGATCAAAGTGAGTTCACTGTTATTAAATAAATGCCTTTTTAGTTTGGTGTGTCCAAACTTTTGACTGTTTTGTAAGACTACCATAACATTTGTCTTTTTTTTGCCAAATAAAATATTTGTCCAACTAAACTGAATGTAGGAGCCTTTAAATGAAAGATGATGATGATGATGATGATGATGATGATTTTGTGATCAGCAGTGCTTTTTTACAGCTCGATTAGCTCATAAACTTAGTTGTTTATCATCAGGAAGGTCAGAATCAGGTCTGACACCTTCCCGGAACATTCAGATCAAACGACTCACGCTTATCTCTGGTGTTTTGATCATTTTCAGTGGCCTTCGCACGAGTCGCAAAATGAGAAGCCTTTAAAACTACAAGCTTCATTTGACCTTGGCAGTGATCCAATCACAGTTTGTTTTTTCCTCTTTTTAAAGGCAGGATTTGGCAAAAATCCAATTTATGCAACTTCTTAACCTACCTCAGATGTCTGGTGGAGCTAGGAAGCTAACAATGCTAACAAGCACTTGAAATCAATAGTCATTCAAATCCTTTCTGCAAACTGCACCTGGTGTCATTATAAAAGACGATACCATCGGTTGGGAAAACTTCACACAACCAGTAGTGGCGAACAATATTAAGAACATTATTAACCCTCTGGGCTACAAGAACTCATCCACGCATCAAATCCTCTCTCTATATCTGAGTCTGTATCTTTGTGATGATCCAGCTCAGAAATCCAGTTCAAACACTTCCTGAATCTGTAGAGTCGCCCTTTCCATTCCATCTTATCACGAGATCATACGAGACTCACATCCGGAGTTATGAGCCTATGAAGAGGGGCTGAGATACACGTCATCTGCCTCTCACCGTGTGGAACTGGTGGATTGGTGTGTCCGTCTACATTCTGTGTGAAACTGACCGATGGACACTCAGGAAATCACTAAGGACTGACCATCACGCCGGAGACCCTTCATTCTTCATTCAGTCTACATCGGAGACTCATGTGAAACGGCGTGCAGAGAGTTTACAGCTGCTGAAGCTGCTGCAGCAGGTTTGGAAAGTAGTGATGAAGATAACGGAGCATTTAGATATGAAACATATGAGGATCATGTTATATGAAGAGCTTTAGAGGAGAGTTTAAGAAGAGATGGACAGATTGAGAAAATGCCCTAGTAGACCAAAAATACTAGTAGAGTGCCTCTGGAACTTAGTGTGTGTTTTACATGTTAGCCGCTGGGCTGAGGCTGAACTTTGTTGGACCCTGATTGTTAAGACATATAGGCCACAATATGGTGCACATGTCCAATGCCATTCAAATATATTGTACAAACCAAGCAAAATACTTTATTAATTAAAAATAGGCAAAATTCTTTTACTAGTGGGCTGCCATTTTTGTTGCCATGTCACATGGTCGGTCGGTCGGTCGGTCGGTCGGTCGGTCGGTCTCTCTCTCTCTCTCTCTCTCTCTCTCTCTCTCTCTCTCTCTCTCTCTCTCTCTCTCTCTCTCTCTCTCTACTAAATGGGGAACAGTGAGATGAATCTCATTTGGCTCTAAAATATCCTTCAGCCTTTCCAGCTTTAGCTAGAACGTGACATTACTCGAGACTGTCTTATTTTCCCATTGCAACTACATGACATCATGCCAGTGTGACAATGATGGCTTATGGGTGGAGGATTTTTGCCTATTTGTCATTTTGTCATATTTTAATAGTATGGGACATGTACACTGTTTTAAGGCATTAAGTCTTAACAGTCAGGGTTCCCTTTAAAACAATAAAAAGCTTACTTACTGCATTGACTGCAAATATAGCTAATCACGATAGAGATGGCTAATCACTAGTTAGTTAGTTAGTTAGTTAGTTAGTTAGTTAGTTAGTTAGCTAGCTTACGTTACTACAACACATTTACTGTTTGGCACTTTAGGCTCACCTGCTTTCTTACAGAAACGGTCAGACGTTGTTTGCCCGTTTACTGCTTTCTTGCTCTCCGCATCTTTTTGTTTCTGAAATCCTGAGTTTGGATTCAATCTGATCTCCTGAATGAATCCCACTGAAACTTCATGGAGGACTTCATCAATCCCAGTCTGGCCTTCGATGAGCATATTACCAATATTACCAGAATAGCTTTCCTCCACCTGCGTAACATCGCTAAATTAAGAAATGCACTGTCGCTACAGGACGCAGAAACGTTAGTTCACGCCTTCATCACGTCCAGGTTAGATTACTGTAACGCTCTGCTTTCTGGCTGTTCCAGCCAAAACCTTAACAAGCTTCAGTTAGTCCAGAACGCTGCAGCCAGAGTTCTGACCAAAACCAGGAAATTTGACCACATTAGCCCAATTTTGTGTACCTTACATTGGTTGCCAGTTAAATTCCGCATTGAGTACAAAATTCTTCTACTGACGTATAAAGCTCTGAATGGCCTTGATCCTCAGTACCTCAGTGAGCTTATTTCCTATTATCAACCGACACGCCCACTTAGATCACAAGGTGCTGCTCATTATTAGTACCCAGAATAAATAAAGTTACGTCAGGGGGAGGAGCCTTTTCATACAACGCCCCCCAGCTTTGGAATAACCTACCAGTCTGTGTTCGGGACTCAGACACAGCCTCCATCTTTAAGTCTAGGCTACAAACTTACCTGTTTAGTCGAGCCTTTGGTTAATTTGTTTTCTTAACTATGTCCCTTTTACTTCCCCCCTCCTCTCTCCCTGAGCTGAGCGGCTGCCTGTCCTAAGAGGGTCTGACCTGAGATGCGGCCGGCGCACTGCACAGTGGTGTTAAACTGTATCCACTTATACTGTTTTGTGTCTGTCCTCTTATCCGGTGTCGACCAGAGGAGGATGGGTTCCCCTTTTGAGTCTGGTTCCTCTCGAGGTTTCTTCCTCCTGTTGAGGGAGTTTTTCCTTGCCACTGTCGCCAAGGCTTCTCACTGGGGGACCCGGATTCTCTGTAAAGCTGCTTTGTGACAAGATCTGTTGTAAAAGGTGCTATATAAATAAATTTGACTTGACTGTGAAAGAGTCCATCAGAGGAACCCTCAGGACCTTGAGCAACTGAAGAAGGTTTTCTGAGAGGAACAGACCAAAACTTAACCACAGTGCTGCAAAAAGCTCATCACTCCTGACTGTAGACGTCTCAAACACTGCAAAAAATGGTGTCTTGTCAAGTAAAATTATTTTAAATACAGTCAACAAACCTAATTTCTCCTGCTGAGATTGTTGTAAGCTTGTTTTAAGATTATTCACCTCATTTCTAGACACTTTTACTTGTTTTAGGTAACTTTATTAAGTAAAATTATCTCTGTATACTGGCAGATAATTTTGCTTGTTTTAAGAATTGAGCTTAAAACCAGCAAAATTGTCTGCCAGTACAGTGAGATCATTTTACTTGATAAAATTAGCTAAAACAGGTAAAAATCTCTGGACACAAGCTAAATAATCTTGTGCACAAGCATCTCAAAATGGGAAATATTAGATACATCAACTATATTTAAAATCATTTCACTAGACAAGATACCATTTTTTGCAGTGAAGCTGTGATTGCCAGTAGCTGCTGCAACAAACTACAACAAACCCTGCCTGTACAAGAATATGAGTACTACATTAAACCTGCGAGTCCAACCCTTTGTCATGAGTCTCTTTGTGACAAAGTGGATAAACAAGCTAGAAGTTTATTAAATAAAAAAGTATCTGAATAGTAGTTTCTCCTCACTGTAAATGCTTTTTTAATTTAATGACAAATTCTTGTGCAGATACAACCAAAGTGTCAAATTAGTGATTTTAAAAAAGCTATTCTGTCAAAGAGGGATTCAAATGTAAAATGATAAATGAGACTTAGATAATTGTTTAATTTATCCCTGTAATAAAAAAATAAATGTAAATTTACAGTAACTATACTGTTTTTAAAATGTGAAACGCATGTTGATTGGCCATTATTTGTGAAGTGTGCTGCCTTGACAGGACTGAAAAAAACAAAATACAACAAAACATAATATTTATGATTTTAATAAAAATGAGACTGAAGACAAATGGATACCTTATGAATGATGCACATTGCTATTACAGAAGATTAGAGAGAAATTATTTATTAAATACTGCAGTTTTATACAACCTCATATGAATTACATGAAGTTGAAAGACTTAAAAAGAATGAAATGTGGCTTAAAAACTGAACTGGAAAATACATGAAATAGTGTTTTGCAAGTTAGTAATCCAGGTCATTCTCATATATGATAAGGATAAACTGTAATTAAAACTTTGAAATAAAAAATTAAAAGCATACACTGTTAATCAGTGAGAATTTTACAATATTTCGCACCACGTTTTTACAGTAAAACACTGTATTCTTTATTTTATTGTGAAACTCATTCTGAGATACTTTTATAAAAATGCCGATTTTCAAAAAAAAAGCATTTTGTAAAATTACTGTATAATATAAACATGCAGGAAATTACAGTTACATCACAGCTATTATTTCATTGTTATTCACTATTAATATGGTTCATTAATTACTGCGCATAATCACTGAAAATTAATGCAACTAGTTGTTGTTGTCTTTGGTACATAAGCTAGTAAAACATAGTTAGTATCTTGATACTTAAGCTAGTTCAGTATGTCTGTTCCTGATAAATATTCAGTTAACTAATTCAGTCATGTACTGATGGCTGCCTTGCAGAGATACAGTTGTTTCTTGACCTTTGGTTGGTCCAGGAAAGTTTTTGCATGAACACAAGGAGCACAAAAAGTCAACAAAGTGTAACTGAATTCTTGTTCTGACATCTAGAGCTTAACATTTCTAGCAAAACCATGATTAATAGGATTTATAGCATTGCCTTGTGGTGTGATTTAGCACTTTTTTATGTAAATGTAATGTTTCAAAATTCTTGTACTCATTCAGTATTGCGAAAAAGTCAGAGACCACCTTTCAGTTATTTAATTTCCAGTCAAATTGGCCATTCATATATGACGCATCTCCTCACTCCTCCCCCTGTTTACTTACTAGTCTAGAAGAAACATTACAAGTTCAGCGTCAAACTTCATCCCTTTATTCGCTGAGAACTCCAGCGGTGAAGAGATGCTAACTCTTGTTTTGCTTCTATTTAAGTCACTTCTTTTCTTTATGGTTCCTTCTTGGGAGCAGCTACTTCTTCATCCTCTCATGTTGGACTCACGGCAGACTTGACTCTACAGTGACTCACTTTTGCCTCTTGAGGTACAAAGTGGTTTTACAAGACAGAACAGACTGGGGCAAGCTGGTTAGCATGCTAACTTCAGTAGATACCCCTGCAACACGATACACAGACGTCTTTGACATGTCAAAACTGCTATTTCTTCACATCCTGTTGATAATCCTAGTTAATTTTTGAATGTTTTGAACTAAAAATCTTACAAATTGCTCCTTTAACAGAAAACTCTGTTTATTCCAGCTTCCATTCTTTTCAGGAGACTCACTTTCAGTTCCTCAAAGAATCTGCAGACACACCTCCAAAGTTCAGTCTTAGAAGCTGGTTGATGATTTTCTGAAATAATCAAACACATTCAGTGGTGTTGAGGTCTGGACTCTGGGGTGGTCAGTCCATCGTTCAGCTTCTTTGTTTGATGTGTCCGTCTCCTTTTCTCAGTGAGGTTCTTCTTGATCAGCTACACATCCTTTCAGACCCACAGCGCTGAGTCGTCTTCTCACAGTGGAAGGATGGACAGAAACACCTGTGGATGTTTTCAGATCTGATCAGCTTGATTTTCTCCTCTCTCTCAGAGATGAAAGCTTTAAGTGCTGTTTATCTGATGGGGGCAGTTTTGGGGTCGACCAGCTCTTCCAGGTGGTTGTTACTCTGCGTTCACAGAGTTCACATGTCATTCATGTTCAAGGAAAGCTGGTGATTTCCTGCGACAGAAGGCAGCGCGAATGTTGGCGTTGTGACGTGGGCGGAGTCAGCGATGCAAAAAAATTGAGCGAACTTTAACTTTATGCAAATAAGGAGTGAAGCAATGTGGTGACTACTGATAGGTATTGAGCATTCAGCAGCGTAGTATGCACTTTATCTCCACCACTGTCAAACGGTACTCCCCATTTTTGGTTCCTAGATAATTGTTCCTACTAGAGTACAGTACTACAGTAATCACAAACACCAAATACTGTTTTCCTCACATACTGACTGCACAGACACGGGGATTACATAAATAATGAGCACACAAGCGATTTTCTTACCAGGGTTTACATTTTTAGCAGGAATGCATCTGATGTGTTCTTGACGTCAGTGAAACCACGGTGAACAATGTCGGTTTGAGTTCAGAAATTCCCTCAGGTGATGAGCGATCAGTGGTTTGGGTGACAAGAGGCAAGTCACTGCCGGAGGCAGGGTTAGGAGTCCCATTTTCTCTGTAGCTTTTAATGAGCTTTTGAACTCCAGTTTTGTCACTTTTACGTTCTCCTTCTGTATGCATGTGGGTTATCTAATCTCAGAAATATCTGCCGAAAATGTCAGCTTGTACTTAATGGCTGTTTTGACTGGAAATTTGTTCTGTGACTTTTGCACAGTGCTGTATGTTGTTACTTTCATATCTCACACATAATGGTGTAAGTTGATTCACAGGGTAGGTCGTTCCACTCTGCATTAGTGTAAATACCAGCACAGTCCTCTTTCCCTTCATAATTGTTGGGCTCGTTTTGCCTCCAGTTGGTGAAGGTCAGAGGTTTTTTGTTCACATCTACAAAGTGACCCTCTGTCTCTCTGTCTGTTGTACCAAGCAGTATGTAGGTTGAACCCAAAGTTGCATGCATTGCAGATAATGCTTTGTTCTCAACTTCACTTCTTGGTAAAACCAGCGTGCCACCAGCATCAGTGCAGAACTTCAGACCTTCAGAAAATTTTCCCTTCATCCCGTTTGATGCATAGTATTTCTGCCCAACTCTTTTGAAGATGGGGAAGCTTGTGGCTTAAAATAAATTAGGCATGAAGGATTATTTGAAAGGAACACACTAAATGACAAGCATTTCATCATTCTACGTTTCCATGGCCACCTACCTTTCTCCACTGTAGAGAGCCTGACTTTGAGAGACTGGAGTTCTGACTGAAGAGATTTGACCAAGTCATTATTTGAAGAGCCTGTAAATTTGGATCAAAATGGGTGAGATTAAGAACATTGTTTACAGCACAGAGTATCACATGGCTAGACGTTTAAACAGCAGCATTTCCCAATTGTCAAAGTTTGATGACTGTACTGCTGCCTGCCACTCCAAGAGTCAGCAATCTACAGGAGTGACAATGTAGAGGCAGCAAAGACGTTCATTAGCCGATTCATGCAAATCTGAGGCGAGTGTCTGTGATCTGAGGTCCGAGTTAAATCTCGAGTCTCTGAGGTGGGAGTCCAAGTCGAATCTTATGTCTCTGGGTTCTGAGTCAAAGTCGAGTCCCGAGTTTCTGAGGATTGAGTCCGAGCCAAGTCTCGAGTGTCTGAAGTGCAACTGCAAGTCGAGTCTCGAGCCTCTTAGGTGCCAGTCTGAGTCGAATATTGAGTCTCTGATGGTTCGAGTCTGAGTCGAGTCTCAAGTCTTTGGGTTGCAAGTCCAAGTCGAGTTTCTGAGGTGTGAATCCAGGTCACATCTCGAGTCTCTGGATTGTGACAAACAGTTGAGTTGAGTCTCGATTCTCTGAGGTTTGAGTCTAGTCTCAAATCTCTGAGGTGTCGAGGCTCTGAGATGTGAGTCCAGGTCAAGCCTTGAGTCTCTGAGGTTCAAGTCTGAGTCAAGTCTTGAATCTCTGGGCTGTGAGGATTATTTCAGAGGAACTGCGTCCCAATTCTGAGTCGAGTCTCAAGTCTCTGAGGTGTGAGTCTAAGGCAAATCTCGATTCTCTGAGATGCAAGTCCAAGTTGAATCTTCAATCTCTAGGCTGTAAGTCAATGTCCATGTGTGTGTTTACATTCATACAGTGTGTCTTTTTACCTGGCGACCCTGGATCTCCCTTTGGCCCTTGGTTTCCCCGTGGACCTACTAGACCTGCTGGACCTGCTGGTCCTGCTTTTCCTGGAGGTCCCTGCACACTCAGTCCTGAAATCAGAGCACAGTGGTCACTTTCCTGCCCTCTGTTTTCTGAAGCCTCTCCGACTCTCTCTGTAACTCTGAACTGCGCCCACATACCCGGCTCTCCCTTCTCTCCTTTGGGTCCGGGGGCTCCGTCTCTCCCGTCTCGGCCAGGAAGGCCGTTGTGTCCAGGAGTTCCTGGAACCCCAGCAGAGGCAGGACAGCTGAGAGTTTGAGGAGCTCCAGCCTCAGATCCACCAACCAGATGCAGCTCCAACTGCAGCAGCAGCAGCAGAGCAGTGAGGATCTGACCGAACAGCGCCATCCTCTGTTCACTGTGAGGAAGTATAATTTATGCTTTATGCTTTTCATACATTTAATTAGTTACAACACCCCCCACATCACTCAGATTGTGTGCTGGAGAGTCAAAGGTACTTCTTTAGTTCCTCAGGTTCCTTAGTACCACGTTCCACTGCAAGTATATTTATTTATATAAGTTGCATTTGCTTTTTATTGAATATTTCCAATTTTGAAAAGTGATGTAAAGTTGTAAATGTGCCTCTTTCTCTTGGCAAAGTGAACGTGTACTGTTCACATTCATGTGTGGTGCACAACTGAACCTTAAAGTCACAGTGAACACAGAGCAAACATGAAAAAATGTTTGTGTGATACTAAACTGAGTATTATATTAAATATCCAGCAAACCTGAATGATAAATATAAATATGATAAAACACGTCTTAAAAACCCCTGATCAGATCTGAGAACTGTGGGTGTGGCTAATGAGCAGCTTTATTGACAGCTCTCTGTCCAACACTCCTAGCTCCGCCCCTCATACAGAACTAACTTCATTATCCAGCTTTTATATGATGCTAATTGGACAAAAAAGTCTTGAACAGACGTGCAGACGGACGAAGCAGCGCATGAATAAGGGAACAGCTGAGCAAACAATGTTAGTGTTGATAAACGAGTGAACGGGCGACAGGCAGCCACAGACAGGTAGGCTAGCTTGCTAGCTTTCGGTTATGCTGGGTTGGCTTTAGCTTTAGCTCGCTAAGCTTATCTGACTGTGAAACTGTTCAGTGTGGGCGGGGCCAGAGACTCAGCCTTGTGATTGGTCAGGGGAATGCTTACAGAAGTGTTACCCAAGTTCAGGTCATTGAAACATTATTTAAAGGGTGAACTTGGTGCATGTTTACTGTTTACCTGCAAGAACAAAATTAACCTCATCAAATAGAAAACACAGATTAAGGTTCTAAGTCTTTTACAATGTTTGTATCCTGGGTTACTAAAATGGTGAATGAGAAGCGAACTTGTAAAGCCTTGTAAAAAATCAAACGTGAGAGAGATTTTATAAAAAACCTCTACTTTTGTGGTTTCCTGCCGGAGATGTGAGAAAAGCGGCTGTAGCAGGGAACAAAGTAAGCCTGTGTTTTCGTTTATGTTTTTTAGTCATACTGAAGCATATTTACAGCCAAGACATTAAAACAGTACTTCAATAAAAGTACATAAAATGTTGTGGCTCCCAAGGCTCTTTTTGTTAAAAGGACAAAATGGCTCTTCTTAACATTTGGGTTGCGACACTGGCGCTAAACAGAAGTGTGTGTGTGTGTGTGTGTGTGTGTGTGTGTGTGTGTGTGTGTGTGTGTGTGTGTGTGTGTGTGTGTGTGTATAATCATATTTATGTCTTATATTTTTCATTAAAACTTTGCTGGATGTTTAATATGACACCTTCAGAGTGCTTTGGTGTGAAACGCTCCGTTCTAGATAAACTTACTGAGTCAGAACTGTTCACAGTGGTGGTGATAGGAACCAGACGTCCACCTCTAAAAGCTCCCTCACAGAAAGTTCCTACAGTAAATGGTTATGAATTCACTGCCTGATGACTGAGACACTGTTTTATGATAGTTTTGAGAACTTAAACTCCATTCATGGTGGAGGGATACATGCAGGGCGCTGTGAGGCAAAATAGTCCCAAAGAAAACTTATTTCAGATTTTCCACTATTTTCCATCATCAACATTCCATATAAACTCAGAAGACTCGTGTAGGTTCACTGCTGGTTCTGGATAGTAAATAAAATGTCTATATTTGTGTTGTAGTCATGGCGACCCCTGGTTCCTATCAGCACCACTGTAAAGACATCTGAACCATTTCACACCAAACCACTCTGAATCTCTCTGATTACACCTCACACACTGAGTTATGCAGAGATTTTGAAAAATGGGTGGAATTCCCCTTAAAGTATAGTTTGAAATCCCTTGTTTAGGCCATTTTGTATTACCGTGTAATGCAGTATTAAATGTTTTACGGCTGGATTCGCTTCCAAGCCATCCATCATGAGGAAGGTCAGATTCAGGTCAGTCCAACATGCCTTCACAGAATGTTCAAGAAAAACAAGCTTTCAAGAGAGAACGTCCTTTTTCACGATATCTCTGGTTTGTGCTGATAGTTTCCAGCACACGGCTCCAAACGAGAAAACAGGTGTGCTGTTTGATTTGGTGAAATCACGTTTTACATTATAAACGACACTAATTACCTCTTTCATTAATATCTTGTATGATAACAATTAATTTTACCTCATTAAAAATAATCACATGGTCTCAAACAGATCTGAGCCACTTCAGGTAAAGACTTCCACTTTATTAAGGAAAGTGATCTCACTACGCTGGCAGATGATTTTGTTGGTGTAAGAAATGATCTGATCCTGTTTTTTGCAGTGAACAGAACCGGCCTGTCGTTTAACTCTTCAGTTCAGACAGTGTTTTACAGGAGTCTCTCAGAATCAGTGCTTACCTGGTGTAAAGGTGTTGAGAGGCTTCCTAGCACCAGGGTTGGGTCAGAAGTGTCACCACTGATGACTGTCCTGCTGATTCGCAATGTAAACCGCTAACTGTGATCTTTATAAAAATCTTGTGTAAAATCTGCACGAGAGCTGATCCAGGTTCCCTAAAAACTCCTGTAGGGTCCTCTAAGCCGGCTGAGCTGTAGAACCGCGGTCGATTCCCGTCAGAGCTGTGAGGTTCATCAACAGGAAACACCTGGACTCGTCTTCACTGCAGACAAATGACCGCTGGATATTTCATAATAGACTTTCCGGAATGTCTTTTCACAGTTCCCCCCTTATCGGCTGCCCCCATGAAGTCCCCCACCAAGTCTCTGCTTTAAAGGGCAAGTCCACAGCTTTTTCAAAATCCCTGCATAGATCAGTGATTGAGATGTAAACAAAGTCATTAAGGATGGTTTGGTGTGAAATGGTTCATTGTACCCTCTTAAAAAAACTGGTTCTTCAAGGGTTCTTTAGTAAAGGGAATGATTGTATTAGAACCTTTTTGAAAAGGGATCTATATAGCACCCAGAAGGGTTCTTCTGTTGTTACAATGTCCGGCTCTTTTTGGTGCTATAAAGAACCCTTTTCAAAAAGGTTCTATTTAGAACTCTTTCACGATGCCAAGAACCCTTTAATTATGCAATGGGTTCTTTTGAGTGTTCATGGTTCTATGGAATTATTTTCTTTAAAAAAGAACCCTTGAAGAATCATCGTTTTACAGGTGTGTACCCTCTTAGAAAAGATGGTTCTTCAAGGGTTCTTTAGTAAAGGGAATGGTTTTATTCAGAACCATGAGTTCCATATAGGTCTATTTTGTGCTTAAATGGTTCTCTGCATTGGGAATGTGTTGCATAGGGCTTTAGATAACACAAAAAATGTTCTGCTACTATTATGATTCACTCTTGTAACCATTGCAGAACCTTTTTTGATGCTATGTAGAACCATCTACAGCACATTCTCCATCAAACTGAAGAACCCTTTCATCATGCAAAGAATCCTTTAATCATGCAAAAGATTCTTTGAGTGTTCATGGATCTATATAGAACCATTTTCTTTAGTAAAGAACCCTTGAAGAACCATCATTTTAAGTACCCTCTTAAAAAAAGATGATTCTTCAAAGGTTCTTTAGTAAAAGAAAAGGTTTTATTCAGAACAATGAGTCTGCATGGAGAATGTGTTGTATAGGGCTTTAATCCATAAAAGGTTCTGCTACCAATATGATTGAAGCTTGTAACCATTGCAGAACCCTTTTTGGTGCTATATAGAACCATTTTCAAAAACATTATATTTTGTACCATATACAACACATTCTCCATCAATCTGAAGAAGACCATTTAAGCAAGAAATGGTTCTATATAGAACTCATAGAACTATTCATGTTACTAAAGAACCCTTGAAGAACCATCTTTTTTAAGAGTAGAGACTTAGGTGTCTTTACAGTGGTGGTGATAGGAACCAGGGGTCGCCATGACTACAACACAGATATAGACATTTTATTTACTATCCAGAACCACCAGTGAACCTACACGAGTCTTCTGAGTTTATATGGAATGTTGATGATGGAAAATAGTGGAAAATCTGAAATAATCAGTTTTCTTTGGGGACTATTTTGCCTCACAGCGCCCTGCATGTATCCCTCCACCATGAATGGAGTTTAAGTTCTCCAAACTATCATAAAACAGTGTCTCAGTCATCAGGCAGTGAATTCATAACCATTTCATGTAGGAACTTTCTGTGAGGGAGCTTTTAGAGGTGGACGTCTGACTCTAAGTTTATCTAGAACAGAGCGTTTCACACCAAACCACTCTGAACCACTCTGAACTGCTCTGTTTACGTCTTAACTGGAATTCTCTTTTAAAGAACATGACTTAAAGGGGAATACCACAGGCTTTTTAAAATTTCTGCAAACGTGCAGGTGAGTGATGACCAGAATGCAATGTGCAGGAAATAGAGGTGTGTTGTGCCTAATTGTGACATTTGATATTTTTTTAAGAACTACTTAACAGATATTTGGTTGATTGTGTGTGAAAATAAAGGCCTTGGTGGATATCAGTATTTAAAAACAAAACTAATACAGAGAAACAGTAAATTAAAACATTTAATATGCAGCAGAAGCTTTATTGAGCATTAAAACATTAAGCACAAAGCACTTCATTTTAGATGCGACTTCTTGTTTTCAGTGTATTATTTCTTTCCAGACTTCTCATTATACGACTTAACAAGTGCCCAAACAAAGATTTCAGAATAATCTGGACTATTTGATTGTCCACGCACAAGACAGGATTGGAACAAAGGCCTTTGACTATCAAGCATAGCAAAGCAAACAATTCATTGCTTCTATTGCAGATTAACAGTCGACAGAGCTGCTATTTCCCTGTGAAACCATTCCAGCTGACCGGCTGCAGCGCCTCTTGGTCACAGAGGGAAAAGCAGGTGGCCGCTGAAGGAGCTGTGGTGGTGTACACTGTTGTCATATATGCGTGCAGAAGGGTAGAGGCGCACGTCTAGAGTATCTCCTTTCTCCAGCTGCAGAGTGACTCCGTTTGACGTGCTGTAAAAACCGCTGCCTTGGTCCGCGTGGGTGGAACAGATGTGCTGGTTATTTTTAAACAAGCCTGCGGTCACAGCAGAACCATTTGCCTTAGAAAAGACCCTGAATACGTAGACTCCCTTCAGAGGCGCCGTGAAAATTCCTGCATCGAAACAAAATGAGACAAAATATGATTCTACTCATCAAAGCTGATCAGCCGACACACTTAAAGACGTGTTTTCGTGCTCTTGGGTAATCAGGTAATGGAGAAACTCCAGGGGGCCGTATTACAGAAAAGCCTTAAGTCTGAGATCATACCTTTATCCGAGCTTTGACTTGTGAGGTTTCTTTAAGAACTCAGACTCGATCTCCACCGCCCCTCTGATTACCTTCGTGTGTTAATGTTGATGATGAAATATTACAGTGATGGTGGTGAATAATGAGGAGACGGAGCTGAGCATTTGGGAAATGGAGACTGAAACTGTGGAGCAGTGACTCTGATAAACAGCAGGGGGCGCTGACACAATATTCTTAACTCAGTTTATCACGCTTTAGTTTTATTTGTCGTATAGTAACGGTAGCTAATGTTCGCTGTCTGACTGACTAACTTGATTACGTGTTTTGTTTCAGCTGTGCATGTATGGTTGGTTGCTAGGTAACAGACACGACAGTTGATTGTCGACTTCAATTGAGCAAGTTAAGATTTCCTAACTTGAGATAAGAAAAGATGCTGTAAGACTCTTAAATTAAGATCAGATTTGTTTCTGTGATTCGAATTTGTGAGAAATCTTATCTTGCCCTGTCAGATCTTATGGTAAGACAAAAAGAGAGGAAGTTTCTGTAATACGGCCCCTGGTCTACATGAGTCAGACAGTAATCGGATTTCTGCTGTACAACTGGCCAATAAACTCACAGAATAAGAATAAGAGATGCAAACGTAACGTAAAACTCATTCAGCCTCTTTATCTGACTTCCTAATCAGATTTACAGACCTTAATCTGGTCTAAGAAATCAGAGTGAGAGTTTACATGCACTGAGAAATCTGATTACTGAGCTCAAATTCGGCCATTTTATCGGATTTCCTAATCAGATTTACAGACCTTAATCTGATCTAAGAAACCAGAGTGTGCTGTTTACATGACAACTTAAATATACAGATAGATAACTGCAGAAATCTGACATTGATCAGATTCCTAAGTGCTCGTAAACACACTCAATATCTCAAACCACATAATCAGGTCTATTAGAGATTACAGAACAGCTCCACACGCTGAGGTGCTGTGATATAAACTTCCATTGCTTGTTAGCATTAACATTAGCCTCATAGCTCCAGTGCTATAACTAAGGAGCAAACTTCAGACATCAAACATGTCTTGGCTGATCTATTTGGTGATTAGAAGGGAAAGTAATTCGATTTTTGCACCTTCTAAATCTTTTCCCTAAACTTAGGATGCATAGATGAATCTCACGAGACCTTTATTTTAACGTTAATATCGGGTAAGTTCCTGTAGTTGGATTACAAATACCTGGTTAAATACCTTCATACTGGGAACATACCTGTATTTTGATCATAGGCTCCTCCGATGTTTGTAAAAACATATTTATAGACCAGCGTTTTGAGGGTGTCGAAGGGTCCAAGAGAACTGGATGTTGTAGAATCGACCAGAAATGCAGAAAATGCCACCTTAAAGTCTAGAAGCGACAAATTGATCAATTAGAGTCAGAAAGGCCTTCAGTGTGAACAGAGAAAGAACATTCAGTGGTCTGGAAAATGTTACATAAATGTTAATGGCTGTTTAAAACTTACAGAGCAAAAACATGAATAAAAAGCGTAACGTGGCTGAAAAATGATACAGTAATGATTCTCATTAAATAGAGTTTATTTCTGTCCTCACAGTGTTACGTCACTCTCGCTCATTTTCTCTCACAGTGAACTGGTCTGTTCTCCATTCTGTTAGCCCAATGTGGTGAATTAAAGCAGGGTTTCTCAACCTGTGGGTTGTGGACCACCAGTGGGCTGTGAAGCACCCTCTAGTGGTCCGTGGGCCTGTACTTAGGGGGAGGCAGTGGTTCGTAGTGGGCCGGTGAGAACATCGCAGTCACAGGTTAATTAAACGTCATCAGTTTGAGACGACGCAGCCGCAGACGCAGCGCAGACAGTTAGCCAGAGATGGAGAGGTTTCTCAGGGTGTTTCTCCTGCCTTGTTCGGTGCAGACCGATCAAATGTTTTTCTTTAGTTCACGCCGTTCTGAAGTGAGTGAACACTCCACCCGTATTCAGGTCTGCATCAAACGGTTGAACCGGTCCGGCAAAACCAGCAGGTCTCGGGCCGCTTCCAACCGAACTCTGTTCAGCTCACACGCCATAATGCCCCTTCGGAATTTGATGCAAGCAACACATTTCAGAAAAGCTGGGACAGGGGCAACAATAGAATAATAAAGTTGTGTAATGCTGAAAAAACACCTGGTGGAACATCTGACTACTAATTAGGTTTAACGAGCAACAGAAGAGCATCTCAGAGAGGCTGAGTCTTTCAGAAGTAAAGATGGGATGCTGATCTGGTGTGGCAGCCTGGGTACCTTTGGGTACAGAGAGAGAGAGAGGGACGAGCGGCAGCAGTGACAGTGCAAAGAGCTGGAAACTGACCAGCTTAGGTTTGATTTGGTTTTGTTTGTTGGGGGAAAATAAAGTTAAACGGCTGTTGCAACCCTGAACCCTGCCTCCAGCATCCCTCATGAGCCTGGGGTAACAAATGAAAAGAAGCCCTGCTCTTTAACTGCCTAGAAATTGACTTCACATTACCTTTTTTGTCCAGTTTGTTCACTCTGACCTTCATCTCACTCGTGCTACCACGCAAGACTTCCAGTGCCGTTGCCTGCTCTACAAGGAAGGACAGTCAGTCAGATACAGCAAGCAAAGTTTATTTATATAGCGCTTTTTACAACAGGTGTTGTCACAAAGCAGCTTTACAAGGAAATCAGCATTACAAAAAGAAATCCGGGTCCAAGCCCCCGTGAGCGTCGCCAGTGGCGACAGTGGCAAGGAAAAACTCTCTAAGAGAAACAGGAAGAAACCTTGAGGGGAACCAAGACTCAGAAGGGGAACCCATCCTCCTCTGGTCGACACCAGATAGGGAACATTGTTAATACAAAAACGGGGAAAACAGGTGGAGCAATGATTAATTTGATTGGTTTAGTTCATGCAGCAGCAACAGCATCAGTGGGGTCGGGATTGTGAGGGTGAGGTTTGCACGGTGTTGTACAGCATGAAGCTCAATGGTGGTCAAGTCAGTCCAGAGGGCTGGCAGCAGTGGCACCTGATCAAGGCAGGAGAGGCAGCAGCATCAGACGCACAGGATGGGCAGCTGTTCAACTCGGCAAAGGAAACGAAAGAAAGGAAAAACACACAGAGAGTCAGTTCCAGAATGAGTGACTGACAGAACTGAGAGTCAGTTCTGTAATGGGTGTCAGTTCTGTAATGGGTGACTGATCACAGATTACAGTGTTAGCAGAGCAGCAGAGACTCTGGCAGGTATAGAACCAACAGGGAAAACTAATTACCAAAGGCTCGACTATACAAGTAAGTTTTTAGCCTAGACTTAAACACTGAGGCTGTGTCTGAGTCCCGAACATTAACAGGAAGACTATTCCAAAGCTGGGGAGCTTTGTATGAGAAGCTCCGCCCCCTGACGTAACTTTATTAATTCTAGGTACTAATAGTGAGCAGCACCTTGTGATCTAAGTAGGCGTGATGGTTCATAGTGAGAGAGAAGTTCACTCAGGTACAGCGGGGCGAGTCCGTTTAGAGCTTTATAGGTCAGTAAGAGAATTTTATAATCAATGCGAAATTTAACTGGTAACCAGTGTAAGGATGATTAAACTGGGCTGATATGGTCAAACTTTCTGGTTCTAGTAAGAACTCTGGCTGCAGCGTTCTGGACCAACTGAAGCTTGTTAAGGCTTTTGCTGGGACATCCAGCCAGCAGGGCATTACAGTGATCTAGCCTTGAAGTAATAAATGCATGAACTAACTTTTACTAAGAAGGAGAAAGTTACTCAACATCCAGTCTTTTATGTCTTTTATACAGTCCTCAATCTTGCCAAGTTTAATTTTATCATCCGGTTCGCTTGCTAAATATAACTAGTGTCACCGAGTGTCATCGGCATAGCAGTGGAAATTTATGCCATGTTTACTGATAATGGTGCCCAGTGGTAGCATATATAGTGTGAATAATACAGGTCCTAAAACAGAGCCTTGTGGAACACCATACTTTACTTTTGCGAGGGCGGATGATTCACCGTTTATATTAACAAACTGATCAGTGAGGTAGGATCTGAACCAGGAAAGGGCTGTTCCTGTTACCCCTACAAGGTTTTCTAGTCTGTCTAGTAAGATATTGTGGTCTATTGTGTCAAATGCCGCACTAAGATTGAGGAGGACTAACAAGGACACATTTTCTTGGTCAGAGAATAATAATAGATCATTTACAATTTTTACTAGTGCTGTTTCTGTACTAAAGCCAGATTGGAATTTTTCATGGATTTGATTCCTATGCAATTCCTATGGATTATTCTTATTGTTTTCTACGAGAGAGGAGAGACAGGCTGAGCGTGCTGTAGCAAGTGCTCTTCTATAGTCCATAAGGCTCTCCTTCGAGGCGGACTGGAACACTTCTAGCTTAATCAGGCGCCATTTTCGCTCTAGTTGTCTGGCGGTCTGTTTTAAAGCCCGAGTGTGGTCATTATACCAAGGGGCGAGTTTTTTCTGCCTTACTATTTTACTTACAGCAGCTGGACATCTCCAGAAAAGATTCAGCCCAGGCAGCAAAAACAGAGGAATTACAAAATCTGGACTCTACCTACTCATATAAAGCCTTTTTTACTATTAACATTTTAGGTAAATAGTAAATATATGAAACACTTTTTCAATTTTTCATATTGATTTTTTTTATACATTAGATGTACAAATGTCTCCTTGTGCTTTTTATTTTTGGTCTTCAGATTAAAATCTGTAATGAAAACATTCATTCAATCATGCATTTTTTCCATTTGTAACCGTCACTGTGTCACTAGTGTGCACGTTTGATCCCCTGTTCAGAGGTAAAGCCCCCCAAATGTTGCCATTTCTAATTTAAGCCCTGAATTAAAGTAGAAAACACTTTTCACGACCTACATTTCCACCACCAAATCCCTGAAAGCCTACCTGCGTTCTCTCTCCTGAGCTCCTTTATTTCGTTCTCCATGGCTTTTAGCTTTTCCTCCATGGTCCTGAGTTTCACCAGCTCCCCAACAATGTCTATAGTCAGTGACATGATGTCCTGAGCCTGTGTGCTCCATGCAGAGATCCACAATGAGACAAAATACACAAACCTCATGATTAGAAAGGCATTGCAGCGGATAGTGAGACGTGTTACAACATGTTTATAAGTCACCAAAAATCAATTATAGCACACTATTACACCCTTATGAGGCATTATTAGTTGTTGTTACCAAGTTAGAGGTGCATTTATAACTATATATGAATATAAGTGTGACAAAGTGTGAGCAAAAATTAAAAAAAATGCAATAGATGTTAACAAAAGAAGAAGCTCTAATATTACAGCAGGTTTGTGTTTTCAAAGCTGGGGCCGGGTGACCGCAGGAACTCAGGGTTTTATAGGGTCACTGTACTTTGCCCCGAGAGTGGCTGATTCAAAACAAACACAGAGCGGTTAAACCTGAACTATCCTACAACCTAAACTGCTGTCCTAATCCAGCATTTATAGGTCTTTTTATGCACTAGTTTGGTGGAATTTTCAAAATAAATAAATAAATAAAAACTGTCTGTGGACAGAAAAATAAAAGGACAGATAAAATGGGTAAATGACCAGTGGGTCGGAGTCTCTGTGTAAAATCCAGTTCTGTTTGTTTCAGTTTAGTCGTCCTTTCTCAAAGCCGTCCTTGTTTACTTTACACACAAGGTAAATGTTTCTAATCCTGCTATTTGCACTTTATTAGAAACACCTTCCAGACACTGCTGATGTTACCGGGCCCAGGCCTAGGGGAAACCCGGGGCGCGGTACAAAGCCTGCTTCCCTTAATAAAAGAGAGAACGGACACAAACATTTTGATGTGTAATCTTCTGGTGTTCAAATTTATTCATACAAAAACACAAAAAACCAATAGCAATTTAAATACTTGAATATTAATCCTTATAAATTCCATAGAATAAGTACTCAAAAAATAGAAACTAGAAAAAGAAATAAGACCACAAATTCACAAAATAACCCAATTAATCACTAATGAAATAGTAAATGAACAAACAAAAACAAACAAACAAACAAGTTGTCAATGAAATAAGCCTAAAGACAAAAATCAATTTGAAATACCCAAACTCACAAAGACATAATTAGAAAAGAAAAGAAAACAAATTAAATTAATAAACCAACGTTGCTTAACTCAGGCTTGAGTAGATATAAGTAAGGAAAATAAAGAAGAAAAGGAAACCAAATCAATAAACAGACACCAATGTGATAAAAACCCTAAAACAGGTAAACCATAAACTTTCACAGCTTCAGCCTAAAAGGGAATACTACAACTAGTTCGAAGTGCAAATGCAACTAAAGTGCTCCTCAACTCAACTCACAAGCATTAACACGACAGTAATTCAGTCAGAGGCGCGTTTCCCCTTCAACACAAACACCACAGCAAAGCCTTCCTTCACAGAGAACCTCTGTAAAGCACTGTAGCAGCTCAGTGAGGCTGATGCTGAAGTTAATGTTAACAGTGTGGCACAATCGCAGCTCCGTGAGCTGACACGATGGCATAACACTGCATAAAACACCAGGCACATGAAAATACATTCTCAGACCAGTAAAACAAGGCAGTAACAGATAAAACAACGTTTCCATACCTTAACAAAAGAGAGAACGGACACAAGCGTCTTGATGCGCAGTCTTCTGGCGTTCAAAGTATTACCTCTGCAGCGCCCTATTTATGCACACCACCGGCCTCTTAGTATGGAGCCCCCTGCTGGTGTAGTGCCGTTAACCAAGTTAGTACCCTTTTACTCAAGCTGATCTGCTTTTAAAAGACATGAAGTTTATTACAAACCCGAACCAAAGAAAAGAATGAAAAAGAAGCACACAAAAAGAAATTCTTAACATTTTTAAAACCCAATATGAATAACAAAAAATGTAGGGTGTTGGTGCATCTTTATTAACATTTCCAACCCCTTACACTGACCCAGTATTATTAGGGTGGTGCACCGTTTCCAGCTGCTGCTGAGAACCACGCAAATAATATCTGGACACCGATGGCCCTGTGGTCAGAAACGGACCAATGATGAATGGAGTAGGAGGGATGAACTGCAGCAACAGATAACTGTTCACCCGTACACTTAAAAAGATGGTTCTTCAAGGGTTCTTTAGTAAAGGCAATGGTTCTATGTAGCACGGCAGGCAGAAAAAACATTTGCAACAGCCGTTCTTTAATGTTTACTCACCAAACAACACAGACTCAAACAAACCAAATGTCAAACCAGTGTCCACTCACTGTCCACTCTATTAGACACTCCTACCTTGTCGGTCCACCTTGTAGATGTAAAGTCAGAGACGATAGCTCATCTGCTGCTGCACAGTTTGTGTTGGTCATCCTCTAGTCCTTCATCAGTGGTCACAGGACGCTGGCCACAGGACGCTGTTGGCTGGATATTTTTGGATGGTGGACTATTCTCAGTCCAGCAGCGACACTGAGGTGTTTAAAAACGCCAGCAGCACTGCTGTGTCTGATCCACTCGTACCAGCGCAACACACAAACACACCACCACCACGTCAGTGTTACTGCAGTGCTGAGAATGATCCACAGTGATCTCACTACGCTGGCAGATGATTTTGCTTGTTGTAAGAAATGATCTACCAGAGTAGTGAGATCATTTTACTTATTAAAATGACCCAAAACAAGTAAATATTGTCCAGATGAGCTAGATAATGATCTAGATAATCTTATAATAACCACACGACCATCTCAGGATGAGAAATATTAGACACATCAACTCAAATGAAGATCATTTCATTTAACGAGATCCTATTTTTGGCGGTGAACAGAACCGGCCTGTCGTTTAACTCTTCAGTTCAGACAGTGTTTTACAGGAGTCTCTCAGAATCAGTGCTTACCTGGTGTAAAGGTGTTGAGATGCTTTCTAGCACCAGGGTTGGGTCAGAAGTGTCACCACTGATGACTGTCCTGCTGTATTGCTCATTCACAATGTAAACCGTTGTAGTGTCTGAGCCCCATGTGTTCTGTTTTTGCAGGTTTGGAATGTTTAAGTTAGGGGGCCCCTGGTCCAAAGGCCCCATAGGGAATGGGCCCCTTTCTTTTCCTCTCCCTTCCTCTCTTAGTTCCAGATAGATGATCATTTTAAAAAGGACCACTTGTTCTGCTCCCTTTGTCGAAAACAACCACCCTATATAAGCAGTAGGTTATACTGTACAGGAGGGGACACTTCAGAATTGGCACGGATCCCCTCTCAGGTTCTTTATAGTGCTTGATATGATACTGTTTTACTTTGTAATAAACAGACTTCTTCATCATCTTCACATCATTGCTTTTTAATAAACAGCAAGAATTTGGGCCACGAACAGCATTGCGAACAAGAATTTGGCATCACGAATTCCGGACGTGTTGTGGCTTGCTGCGTCACCGACAGCTTTTACTCCAACACCAAGCCGGCTATTAAGGTGAGCGTTTCTCATGATGGGGCGTTGGTTCATCCGTTGGGGCTGTTGGGTGTTTGCTGTCTAGTCGCACCGTAAAGAATCATGTGTGTGTGCGTGCCATAATGTGTTGATGTTTGGAGTGCTTCTCCTTTCTAAATTTGGGGTTTATTGCGTCGTAAACGCCACAATAAGGGGGGAGTATAATAGGAAAGCTGATGTAAAAGTGTAGAATAGCCTAATTAGTAATGATAAGGTGAGCTAAAGAACATCATGCGAGATTAATGAAGGTTGGGCCCTTATCTTCTTAACAGTAAGACATATGTATATTTGTCACTGCGTGAAAGTTGGTTTAGAGAAATAGTCAGATTAGGTTAAAAAGGAAAAAAGTGAAAAGTAACAGCCCAGGGCCCTGGGAAATTAGATTAATGGGAAAAAAGAGGCAAGAAAAAAGAGAGGAAAACATTAAAGGAAATAGAGATGAGAAGAGTTAAAGACAAAGAAGAGAGATTAAAGAAAATAGAGAAGAGTTAAAGAGAAAAGAGAGATGAAAGAAAATAGAGAAGAGAAGAGTTAAAGAGAAAGAAGAGATTAAAGAAAATAGAGAAGAGAAGAGTTAAAGAGAAAGAAGAGATTAAAGAAAATAGAGAAGAGAAGAGTTAAAGAGAAAGAAGAGATTAAAGAAAATAGAGAAGAGTTAAAGAGAAAGAAGAGAGGTTAAAGAAAATAGAGAAGAGAAGCGTTAAAGAGAAAGAAGCTGCAGGTTTGGACCAAAGTCCTCTGGAAGGCGGTTTTAGACGGGCCTAAAATCCGGGAAAATCACTAGGTGAATTTCGGGTCAGTTCTAAGGAACTGGAGGTGTGGAATGGAAAATTCAATTGTAAAGTTCCCACTCGAACACTAGTTGACAAACAGTGTCTGAAGCAGCTTTTTATTGAATATTCACACCTCAGAAAGGAGCATAAATTTAGAAGAAGAAGAGAAAAAGGAGCGGCAGGAAAAAGCATGCTAGAGGATAAGTGTGAATGAGTCGACTTTGAGCATTTAGGATTGAGTGTTGTTTGTGTCGTCTGTGTTCTCTGAGCTTGCTGTGTGTTCCTGTTCCTCCCCCCCCTTACTGTTTGTGTGCACGGAGTTGGTTTCTGTGTGTGTGTGTGTGTGTGTTCTCGTTTTGATCTCTTCATGGGGACACCACCCTGTTTACACACCAACCAAATGGGGACGCAAAACGTTGTGGGGACAAAAACCATGGTCCCCATGAGGGAGACCCCTTAAAACGTATAGCGGAGGGTGTGACTAGGTGCCTCCCGCTCGATTTAGCTTAGGCCCACGATGAAGGTTTGGACCTGAAGTGTGTGTGTGAAGCTGTGCTCCACAGCGGCCTCTGTAGTCTGGAGCTGGTTTTGCAGGGGGTAGGACCACGCCCGCCCGCTTAACACACTCTGCAAGTCTAATTTATGCAAATCCGTCCTGAGGGGAACGCTGCGCATGCGCACTAGTAAGGTAAACAGACTTAGCTCTAAAAGCGAACATATTCAACTCTGAAGGTAATATGAATTTCCGAAAATGTCCACAGTTTTTTGGTCTAATAAACATTCATAGTACATCCCAAATGTATATTACATCATAAAATCTATGTAGAGTAATTATTAAGTCTAACAAAATTGTTAACTCAATCATGTTTCATGGTCTAACATGCTGTGCATTCAGTAGGTCAATACAACTACTTACTTTTGTGCAGCGATAAAGCTAATAATTCCTAAAATGTGAGTTACAATCATAGTTCTACAGCTTTTCAGAGTATATTAAAGCATTTTTGCGTTTTTATAATGTGTTTGCGAAGAGTGAAATCAGCAAACGTAGCTGTCTTAAAATGGTGGATGTAGTTTTTTGAAGCTTCTCTCATGGTCCGTAAACACTACTACAGGAAGTCGCCAAGAACTACATTTCCCTTCCTGCCTCACTTCCTCTCTGGCACGGCTGTGTGGCTAATTGGCCATTTTCTCTGCTTTGTCCAAACGGAGAGAAAGGTAAGCAAAGCGTTTACTATTCCCTATTTATAATGGTTTGTGGTTTTCCTTATGTGTTTAAAGAGCGTTTGGTTATCCTTAAGACTTGTGAAAGGACATGAAATATGGTTCTTAGGCGTTTTTATTCCAAATGAATGCTGCTAATTAGGTTAGCTTGCAGACCCCAGGCAGTGCAGAAAAGCAAGCTCTAGCAGCTCAGCCTCAAACTGTTAGTGAAAGCTCAGCCACATCGGTGAGTCTGGCGACTATTAAACAGCATTTTTAGCCGTGAAACATATTTTTAGCTGCACAGCTGTACTTCTGAAAGACCTGTTAAACACTAAACCCGACGAACGCGTTTTGCGTTCTGTTTACTCTCCCTGTGAAGTCTGTTTTACTGAAACGGTGTCTCTCAGAAACGGTGTAATACAGTAAGATACTGATATAGTAAAACAGTGTCATCGAGGTAAAGGTAGCTTATTTAATTTGTTTGAGTTTAGGTGAGTCAGAGCTGAGACAGTAACCCAGATGAGGGGGGAGGGAGAGAGAGAGCAGAGCAGCGCAGCTGTGGGGTGCAGTGGGGGAGGGGAGGGGATGGTGTTGGTTACAGAGCTGTTTCTACAGACCTGCAGCTCTCTGACCACTTTCTGCAGCAGATCAGACAAACAGAACAACATGATGAAATGTTTAACTGGAGAGCCCTACCGTTATGTTTTTATTTATTTATTTATTTTTTTTTAAATCAGCTAGTAATTGTGTGAATCTAGTGTTTTTCCTGCACTCCAGGGCTGAAATCTTTGCTGTTTTTGTTTAAAATCATTACCTTTCTGTCTCCAACCATTTTTCTAGAGCTGAAAGAACAAGAGCAATTAAATTCTGCATGTTGCAGTACTTTTGATTGGCTTTAATAAAACTTA